TGGGTGAGAAGAGTCTCTGGGTGAAAAGTGTATGGGTGAAAAGTATGTGCAAGAAGAGTTTCTGGGTGAAGAGTTTCTGGGTGAAAAGTATAGGGTGAAAAGTATGTGCAAGAAGAGTTTCTAGGTGAAGAGTTTCTGGGTAAAAAGTATATGGGTGAAAAGTATGTGCAAGAAGAGTTTCTGGGTGAAGAGTCTCTCGGTGAAAAGTCTGTGCAAGAAGAGTTTCTGGGTGAAGAGTGGGTGAAAAGTATATGGGTGAAATGTATGTGCAAGAAGAGTTTCTGGGTGAAGAGTGGGTGAAAAGTATATGGGTGAAAAGTATGTGCAAGAAGAGTTTCTGGGTCAAGAGTCTCTGGGTGAAAAGTATATGGGTGAAAAGTATGTGCAAGAAAAGTTTCTGGGTGAAAAGTCTCTGGGTAAAAAGTATATGGGTGAACAGTATGTGCACGAAGAGTTTCTGGGTGAAGAGTCTCTGGGTGAAAAGTCTGCAAGAAGAGTTTCTGGGTGAAGAATTTCTCGGTGAAAAGTATATGGGTGAGATGTATGTGCAAGAAGAGTTTCTGGGTGAAGAGTGGGTGAAAAGTATATGGGTGAAAAGTATGTGCAAGAAGAGTTTCTGGGTGAAGAGTCTCTGGGTGAAAAGTCTGTGCAAGAAGAGTTTCTGGGTGAAGAGTCTCTGGGTGAAAATTATATGGGTGAAATGTATGTGCAAGCAAAAATTCTGGGTGAAGAGTCTCTTCGTGAAAAGTATATGGGTGAAAAGTATGTGCAAGAAGAGTTTCTGGGTGAAGAATCTCTGGGTGAAAAGTATGGTGGAAAATAGGGGTAGATGGGATGCTGGCTTTCGTTCCCCCCTTCTCAGGTAATCTCTTGCGGTAAATGGGGGGGATTGCAAAACCAGCCGTGAGAAGCGGGGGAGCACTGCCTGTTTTCGCGACCGAAAATGACCCCAGTTGGACGAAGGGCCCAAAAGGCCCTGGTTCAGGTGCCAGCTATTGCCATAGGGGGTTTGACTCATGGCCAGAGACGTTTGGTAGGGCGGAAACCCATTGGTTGTAGGCTGTGTTGCTTTTTGTGGATGGGGGTTGTTGTGTGCCTTCATGATCCAAGCAAGGTATGGTGATCGGACCTTCACGATCCAAGCAGATCCAAGGTATGGTGATCGGATGTTTGGAGCCTGGGGATCAAGGAATGCAACGATGTTTTGATACCTTGAGTTAAATGGTAGAGCGGTAGAGGTTACATACAATTGGGCAAAGTTCAATGCACGCGGATGGGAATTGAAACATAAGCCCAAAGATGCCACCAAAAATGAGCTTCAGACTTGCATTTTAATTGGGAACTTAGGGTTTTTGCCGACCCATTGCCATTTCCACTTCAACTTCTGGACCCCAAAGTGATCGTCATTGATAGTCGAGCCACATGTCTCAAGGTACGTGGACGAAGTGACAGGCGTGGAAAGCTGCCAGCATGGCCGTCAGATGCTACAGCTATGATCCGACAGATTCGACATATCTTGATATCCGGTACCATTGGCCCCGGCCACCCCAAAACAAGGTAGGACGTTTGCTGAAAGATGACCAGGAAATCTGCAGCTCCCGTGGTTTTTTTCCGCATGACTTCTGTGTGCATGGCCTGAGCGATGAGCCAAACTGCCGCGTAAATTCCTTGGGAAACAGTTGTGATGGATATTTATGGTGGAATTTGGTAGGATTTATATCAATATCAACAAATATATATACGAGTTCGTATATTTAAAATTCCGTATATTTAAATGTAGTTGCCCTATATATATATATATGTATATCAATCAATATTTTATATCATTTTATATGCCTATCTACAGAATCTTTCGGATTCTTCTGGATTACCAGAGGCTGCGTCCCGTTGACGCTGATCAAGCCCCAAGAGAGGCCCACCAGCTCTCTGTCGAGCGACTGGAGCACTTGGAAGGGTCAGGGCGCCCCGCGGTTGAGCCCATGATTCACCAGCTAAGCATGGGGTTGGACCGGGTTGGGTCAACATCCAGGCCACAGTTTTGAGGCCATCGTTTCATATCATTTCCTCATCACAGATACAGATTTGTAATGTATATATAATTATATATATATGTAATATCTGCTCATACGCTGGGCTACAGTGGCTACAGAATGATGTTCCATATCTATCAGCCCTCCAGCTTTGTTGATCACAGCATGTTAGGCCTCTTGTTGCTCATGAATTATTTCACTTCTCGTGACCTCTCGTGGGCAAACTATTGTCAACTTCTCTTCTCCTGTTGTTGCACCTGACTACAACTATTGATCAACTTCCAGTGCCAGTGACTAGTGTCGGGTGTGGAAGCGACTTTGCGGACCGTACGGATTTAAGATGTTCCATATTTATCAGCCTTCCAGGTTTGTTGTTCACAGCATATTAAACCTCGTGTTGCTCATTACTTGTTTCACTTTTTGTGGGTAAACTATGGTAAACCTCTTCTCTCCTGTTCTTGTACCTGACCAACTGTTGATCAACTTCCAGTGAGCACGAAAAACCTTACCCAAAAAACTAGGTTTCACACAGCTGTTGATCACCCCAAGGGCTTCTAGGAATATCTTTCTGGTGACATTGAGATTTTGATCCTGGCGACTTCCCAGCCATGGCACTGAGGATGTTGGAGCAACCGGGAGGCGGAGGAGCCCATGCCCACGGCGTCAGTTGATCCCAGCCGTGATGTCGGTTGACATGGCAGGGATGGGGAGATGCTAAGGTCAGATGGAAACAACCGGATGACGGAGATATGTGACACTTTGCATGAACTTCACATTGATCCTGCAGCCATTTGGGCTGGTTTTCCTGTTTCAATTCCATGACATTCCATGACCATTTCGAGTTCAAGTTCTGAGGCGAGCTCCGAAACTTCGGAGACTGGAACGTCTTCAGGAGATCCAGCGGTCCGAAAACCTTGGTGCCGATGGTTGCCCCGATCGTACCTGCTGGTCTTGGTGATCAATGCCACTGCGACCCTTCTGCTGTGGCCTGCTGATGCTGAGTATCCTCATGGCTGGCACGATGATCCTCCTGTCTGTCAACTTCAGATGCGACTCTTCTTCTTTGGGCTGATGCTGTCGAGTTTGGGAGCCGGCTGTGTAGCAGCCTTTCTGGTGAGAAGGGCGGAAGCTTCAGATCATACAAAGAGGGCCTGTGGCTATGCCATAATCAACTGGATTCAAGCCATGTTGGGCTCACTGGGGATGACCAGTCCAGGGGCAGGGTACTGCAGGTATGGAGTGACACCAAGCCCCAGGTTTGGAGGCAACATTTGGCATTCTGCACTTGCCATGTGCCGATTGCTGCTGTATCTCGTTGCTTCCTTCTGGATGCAGACGCTCATCGCCTCACGGCTGGATCTCTTGGAGCAATCTTCCAATCGGAACTACCGCAGTGGCTGCTTTCGCAGACTGATGTGGGCCCAAGTCTTTGGGACAGCAGTGGCTCTGCTTCCCATTGCGGGCATAGTTCATGAGATCATTACGGATGATAGCTACAGCGGAAGTATAATTTTCGCTACAAGTATCATGAGTCTGAGCGCAATAGGAGGCATCACATTGCTGTGCAATGTGGCAGCGAGCATCGTGGCCATTTGCTCTTTCCGAAAGTCTTACTCGGAGCTGCGGAGGATTTGTCGCCTGGCAGAAGCCAATGAGGTGCCGATCTCCGCACGATCTTCCTTGAGACGAGCCCGAAGGTTTGCTGGTCTGCAAGGGTTGGGTGTATCGTTTAGCCTCCTGTTCACGGTTCTGCTCGTTCCAGCACGTGTTGTTTCTATGCTTCTGCCTTATGACTATGACTCTTTGAAGGTGGTCTTGTTTCTTATTCAAGCTTTTGATGCCCTGGGAAATGCTGTGGCCGTTCTCCTTCTGTCCGGCAGTCACAGGATGGCCAAAGTTGAAAGGAGTCAGGGGAGCCACAGGAGCTGGAAAGTCGAAAAGCCTGAGCATAGGAGAAACCAACAGACTTCGCATGAAGATGTGAACTGGACCAGCAAGGTGAAAGAACTTTCAATGCGGGGGATGACTTTGAGGAGCCTCCTGACGTTCTATCAAGAAAACCTCCCTTCAATGCCAGATTGGAAATATGCGCCCAGGGAACACAAGACCAGAGATGTGGTCCGAAGAGCGATCATCCCATTGACTAGCAGAGAAGAATGTGCATTCTCAGTTTCAGCTTTCAACAAGGATGGTCCGAAACGGGCACAAGTCATGGTGACCCACAATTGGGGCAACTTGTTTAGCGACCTGCTGGCTGCAGTGCTGTCGGATGCCCTGCAGGAATGCAGTTTCAGCTTGCCAGCAGAACTTTGCAGGAGGATTGCGCTTTCCTGCAGGACCTTCTGGCGAAAATGGGGCGGTTGAATCACACGTATTGGATCTGTGCATTTGCTGTGAACCAACACATCAGCATCTGCCACAGCAACCCGTATGACCGGGATCCTTTCACAGATCAGCTGCACCCAGTGTGCCACTGCAAAAGCACAAACATCATTGACTCGGATGGCCGAAGTGCTTCGTCAGAGATCAATAAGTTTGATGACATGATGCGTCTTCTTGCCACGACTGGGGGATGCCGACAAGTGATTGCAGTGGACAAACCTCTGGATTTGTTTCGCCGTGCCTGGTGCGTGGCTGAGATTGCGGAAGCCAAACGTTTGCAGATGGACCAGTCATTGAAACTCTGGTCCAAAGCAACGCTTCAAGAACGCGCCCGGACATTGGAAAACCTGGATGTGCGGGACATGCGTGCCTCCTCGGAAAAGGACAAGGAACTCATCCTTGGCAAGATTCAGGATGTAGATGATTTCAATGCCAAGCTTCAAGTGCTCATTTTTGATCCAAAATCGGGCCTTGTTGCCACATGGAATGCCATGGATAGCCTGCAGCAGATTGGTGAAGTGGGCCGGCTCATTCGATGGGGCCTGGCAGATGCAGGCAGTGGAAAAGTGTGGAAAGCATGGGACGGCCACAACTGAATCCACTAAGCACAGCCCATAAGAGGCATGTGCCAATCTCACTTTTGCAACCTGCCGCCCGAAGGGGCAGCAAAATTCAGATTGGATAAAATAGATGCAGGACCAGCGAGAGTTTCATGATTTTTGCAAAGTGTTGCAGAAATTCGCAATCCAAACATATCCAAACAACCAGTTGCAGCACGTGCTTGAACTGAAATCCAACCAACATCCATTAGATTATCATCATTTTCCCTAGGAAAAATGGCTACAGATCGACCCATTTTTTGTGGCTTCAAACTTTCCAGGAGTACGTCTGGAGGGTCGAGGCAGGTGATGACCAACATGTGCCATGGTTCATTCGCCGTTTTTGGATTGGGTAAAGGGAACATATGCCAGAAACCACGGTTTTTCCCGGTACATCAAGAGGTTTCCGGTAAATTTTCCCATGATCCAATTCTGGGACATTTGATCTTCCAATGTTTTTTTTTTTTCACCTTTTGGCATTCAAGAGTGGTTTTCAATACATCTAATGGCACTAGTGGCATGATCATCTCCCAAGTACCGAGGGGTTGGCAAGTGTGATGACGGATTTTTTCCGGCCAACCTAGGGAGAAAGGCACCTTTTGTTAGCCTGGAAAGAGTCGATCCTTCACCCCGCGGGCCTGTGCTGGAAGGTGATGTTGACGATGAGAAAAGAAGCGCTCCACGTTGGCAGCTTAAACTTCCAGTGCCAGTGACTAGTGTCGGGTGTGGAAGCAACTTTTGCGGACCCTACGGGTTTTATGATGTTGCATATTTATCAGCCTTCCAGGTTTGTTGTTTACAGCATGTTAGACCTCTTGTTGCTCATTACTTATTTCATTTTTTGTGGATAAACTATGGTAAACCTCTTCTCTCCTGTTGTTGCACCTGACTACAACTGTTGATCAATTGCCAGTGAGCACGAAAAACCTTACCCCAAAAAACTCGGTTTCACACAGCTGTTGATCACCCCAAGGGCTTCTAGGATTCTAGATACGTTTCTGGTGGTTTCTCTGTGACAGTCAGATTTTGATAAATTTGGCGACTTCCCAGACATGGCACTGAGGATGTTGGAGCAACCGGGAGGCGGAGGAGCCGCGCAGCTCGCAGATCTGCCATTGTGTCAGTTGACTTTGCACGGAGGGATGGTAAGATGCTAAGGTCAGATGGAAACAATCTCGGATGACGGAGATATGAGACACTTTACATGAACTTCACATCGATGTTCCTGCAGCCATTTGGGCTGGTTTTCCATGGTTTTCCTGTTTCAGTTCCACGGCATTCCATGACCATTTCGAGTTCAAGTTCTGAGGCCAGCTCCGAAACTTCGGAGACTGGAACGTCTTCAGGAGATCCATGGTTGCCCCAATCGTACATGCTGGTCTCGGGTTCTGAGGCGAGCTCCGAAAGTTCGGAGACTGGAAAGTCTTCAGGAGATCCATCGGTCCGAAAACCTTGGTGCCGATGGTTGCCCCGATCGTACCTGCTGGTCTTGGTGATCAATGCCACTGCAACCCTTCTGCTGTGGCCTGCTGATGCTCAGCATTCATTTACCTGTCCACTCAACATGCGTCTCTTCTTCTTTGGGCTGATGCTGTCAAGTTTCGCAGCCGGCTGTGTAGCAGCCTTTCTGGTGAGAAGGGCTGAAGCTTCAGATCATACAAAGTGGGCCTGTGGCTATGCCATAATCAACTGGATTCAAGCCATGTTGGGCTCACTGGGAATGAACAATCCTGCAGTGGTTGGTGGCTGCAGGTATGGAGTGATACCACCTGGATGGGAACTCGGAGGCCTAATTTCGTATTTTGCACTTGCATTGTGCCGATTGCTGCTGTATCTCGTTGCCGCTTTTTGGATGCAGACACTCATCGCTTCACGGCTGGATCTCTTGGAGCAATCTTCGAATCGGAACTACCGCAGTGGCTGCTTTCGCAGACTGATGTGGGCCCAAGTCTTTGGGGCAGCAGGGGTTTTGCTTCCCATTGCAGGCATAATCTATGAGACCATTACGGGTGGTATGAGCATTTTCCGTACAAGTATCATGAGCCTGTTCGCAATAGGAGGCATCACATTGCTGTGCAATTGGGCAGCGAGCATAGTGGCCATTTGCTCTTTCCAAAAGTCTTATTTGGAGCTGCGGAGGATTTGTCGCCTGGCAGAAGCGAATGAGGCGCCTATCTCCGCAAGATCTTCCTTAAGACGAGCACGAAGGTTTGCTGGTCTGCAAGGGTTGGGTGTATCATTTAGCCTCGTGTTCACGCTTCTGCTCGTTCCAGCACGTGTTGTTTCTATTGCTGTTGTTTTCAAAGTTGGAGGCTATGACTTTGACGGCTATGACGCGTTGACCGTGGTCTTGTTTCTTATTCAAGCTCTTGATGCTCTGGGAAATGCTGTGGCCGTTCTCCTTCTGTCCGGCAGTCACAGGATGGCCAAAGTTGAAAGGAGTCAGGGGAGCCACAGGAGCTGGAAAGTCGAAAAGGCCGAGCATAGCAGAAACCAACAGACTTCGCATGAAGATGTGAACTGGACCAGAAAGGTGGAAGAACTTTCAATGCGGGGGATGACTTTGAGGAGCCTCCTGCAGTTCTATCAAGAAAACCTCCCTTCAATGCCAGATTGGAAATATGCGCCCAGGGAACACAAGACCAGAGATGTGGTCCGAAGAGCAATCATCCCATTGACTAGCAGAGAAGAATGTGCGTTCTCAGTTTCAGCTTTCAACAAGGATGGTCCGAAACGGGCACAGGTCATGGTGACCCACAATTGGGGCAACTCGTTCAGCGACCTGCTGGCTGCAGTGCTGTCGGATGCCCTGCAGGAATGCAGTTTCAGCTTGCCAGCAGAACTTCTGCAGGAGGAGTGCGCTTTCCTGCAAGACCTTCTGGCGAAAATGGGGCGGTTGGATGAGACGTACTGGATCTGTGCGTTTGGTGTGAACCAGCACATCAGCATCTGCCACAGCAACCCGTATGACCGGGATCCTTTCACAAATCAGCTGCACCCAGTGTGCCACTGCAACAGCACAAACATCATTGACCCGGATGGCCGAAGTGCCTCGTCAGAGATCAACAAGTTTGATGACATGATGTCCCTTCTGGCAACGACTGGAGGATGCCGACAAGTGATTGCAGTGGACAAATCTCTGGATTTGTTTCACCGTGCCTGGTGTGTGGCTGAGATTGCGGAAGCCAAACGTTTGCAGATGGACCAGTCACTGAAACTCTGGTCCAAAGCAACGCTGCAAGAACGTGCCTGGACATTGGAAAATTTGGATGTGCGGAACATGCGTGCCTCCTCCGAAAAGGACAAGGAACTCATCCTTGGCAAGATTCAGGATGTAGATGATTTCAATGCCGAGCTTCAGGTGCTCATTTTTGATCCAAAATCAGGCCTTGTTGCCACATGGAATGCCATGGATAGCCTGCAGCAGATTGGTGAAGTGGGCCGGCTCATTCGATGGGGCCTGGCAGATGCAGGCAGTGGAAAAGTGTGGAAAGCATGGGACGGCCACAACTGAATCCACTAAGCACAGCCCAGAAGAGGCATGTGCCAATCTCATTTTTGCGATCTGCCACCCGAAAGAGGCAGCAAATTCAGATTGGAACCAGCAAGAGTTTCGTGATTTTTGCAACGTGTTGCAGAATCTGACAATCCAAACATATCCAAACAACCAATTGAAGCACGTGCTTGAACTGAAACCCAACCAACATCCATTAGATTATCATCATTTTTCCTATGAAAGATGGCTATAGTTGGCTGAATCCACTAAGCACAGCCCAGAAGAGGCATGTGCCAATCTCACTTTTGCGATCTGCCACCCGAAAGAGGCAGCAAATTCAGATTGGATAAAATAGATGCAGGACCAGCAAGAGTTTCATGATTCACCGGCGCAAAGTGTTTGCAGACATTCTTTTTGCAAACAACCAATTGCAGCACTTGGTTGAAAAAAAATGCGGGTTCAAACTTTCCAGGAGTCTCTGCGTTTGGCCGTTGAGCGGACGGAAGACATAGAACGCCTACTCGGGCGGAAGGGTCGAGGTGGGGTGGCGGCCTTGTGATGTTCGCCTATTGATCTTCTATTTTTTGGGTGGGATGGAGTTTCAGAGCTCTGAAAATAGACAATTTAAGATAATTTAAGTGGATAGGGCAAGTGTCCAATTTCAAACGAAGAATTCAAAGCCTGCAGCTTTGCAGGGAAAGAGTGAAGCACTTCCACTTCAGACCGATTTATGGAACTCTCAGGTTGAAGTTTTTTTTTCTCTGCCTGCCTTCAGACAGCGACAGATGGGCCCTGCAGCGCAGGAGCAGTCTCAACGACCAGCTCAGTTGCTGGCGCTGAAATATCCAGGATGGGTCCTTTTTTAAGGACCTGGATGGTTTAGTACGTGCCAACATTATCTTGGATAAGAGGCAATAAGAGGTCTCCAATTTTTGTGGTCTCACCATACAGATGATGGCCGTGTCACATGCTGAAGACTCGAATGGATCCAGCCGCATGGTAGGCCAAGGGACGATGCGATGCTCTTGGGATGTGGTGATTACTAGTGATTACCATGAACATTATGTGAATTACATTGAATTACTATGGATTTGGTACGTTGGGAGGTGACGAACTAGCCAAAAGATCCTTAAAGTGTCTAGTGACTGAATAGGATGTGAATCAGGATGGCAGGATGGCGGGCACAATGTGACATGAAACGTGGCAGTTCGCTGTGGTTTGAACTAAGTCTTGTCAGTCACAGCGCGACAGTGGCCACTTTGTGGCCATCAGGATTTTGGAATCTGAAACATCAATGTTTGTCTGAAACATCGGAATGATCCTCAATGGTCTAGTTCACCTTGTATCGTCACGAATTTCGACATGCAGCTGTGGTCTTATTGCTTGACTCTTCCAGATCATTCCAGCCGCCACTGGCAGGAGCTGGTAGAGATGGCCATTCAGAAGATGACTGCCTGGCAAAGTTACAGGTGCACCGGTTGAGCCCAGAGCCACGAACGTAACTGGTTGGTGAAATGTTGGTGAAATACCGAGGAAAGAAACCCTAATTTCATAGGGTTTTTCAATTTGAGAAATGCTGAAATATGCTGAAATCATCGTGAAAGTGGAAAAAAAACGGATCCAATCTTTGAAGACGCTCTACACGGGGCCTGCAGACGGATTTTCTTATGGCCAATCGTTTGAACTGTGGGGAGACATGCTCCCAGATCATCATTGCATGACATATTCTCCATACAATCCCCTAATTCTCCCCGCAGTTCCACCAAAATTCCTATACTACACCCAATTCAGTGGCTTATCTATGATAACATGAGGAGTCGTATCCAAATCCCCCCAAGACTACACGATCCAATCTTCATTTTTGGGTTTAAAAGGAGGTACATGCAGGGCCTTGGGGGCCTTGAGCACCACCCAGCCTGTCTCCCTACGCCAGGAAGTGAACGAGAAGCACGAAACTTTGGAAAAGACACTTACCAAAGAAGAGGATAAACCTGGTGGTAGTTTGATGGCTGCCCTTTCCCCCTAATATGAAATACCAGCCAACACCCCTGGCGAGTTGCATTGGATCTATTCACTTTGGGTATCATATGGGGGGCATTTAATTTTTTGGGGGATGGAATTTCTTGAATTTCCTGCGGTAAATGGGGAGAATGCAAAACCAGCCGTGAGAAGCGGGGGGCACTGCCTGTTTCCCCTGAGAATGACCCCCAACTGGGCCTGGTCCAGGTGCCACTTATTGCCATAGGAGGTTTGACTCATGGCCAGAGATGTTTTTTTTGGGCGGAAACCCATAGGGTTGTGTACCTTCATGATCCAAGCAAGGTATGGTGATCTGTGGTGTTTGGAGTCTGGGGATCAAGGAATGCGATGTTTTAATACCTTGCGTTAAATGGTGCGGTAGAGGTTACACAATTTTTGCTAGCCAGAAATCAGTCCAATTTTCCCGCGAGCTTTTTTGCCGATGCATTGGGCAAAGTTCAATGCACGCGGATGGGAATTGAAACATACGCCCAAAGATGCCACCAAAAATGGGCTTCAGACTTGCATTTTCATTGGGAACTTAGTTTTTTTTCCTGAACATTTTTCATTTCCACTTCAACTTCTGGACCCCAGAGTGATCGTCATTGATAGTCGAGCCGCATGTCTCAAGGTACGTGAGCGAAGTGACAGGCGTGGAAAGCTGCCAGCATGGCCGTCAGATGCTACAGCTATGATTCGACAGATTCGACATGAGATTGGACATATTTTGACATATTGATTTGTGCCGGAGGAATGTCACATTGGCCCATTGGCCATGTTTTTTTTTGGTTTTCGGGTACCATTGGCCCCGGCCACCCCAGAACAAGGTAGGACGTTTGCTGAAAGATGACCTGGAAATCTGCAGCTCCCATGGATTCCGCATGACTTCTGTGTGCATGGCCTGAGCGATGAGCCAAACTGCCGCGTAAATTCCTTGGGAAACAGTTGTGATGATGGATATTCATGGTGGAATTTGGTAGGATATCAATATCAACAAATATAATATATATATATATATATATATCAATTTGTTATATCATTTTATATGCCTATCTACAGAATCTTTCCGATTCTTCTGGATTACCAGAGGCTGCGTCCCGTTGACGCTGATCAAGCCCCAAGAGAGGCCCACCAGCTCTCTGTCGAGCGACTGGAGCACTTGGAAGGGTCAGGGCGCCCCAGCGGTTGAGCCCATGATTCACCAGCTAAGCATGGGGTTGGACCGGGTTGGGTCAACATCGAGGCCACAGTTTTGAAGCCATCGTTTCATATCATTTCCTCATCACAGATACAGATTTGTAATATATATATATTATATATCTATATATATGTAATATCTGCTCATACGCTGGGCTACAGTGGCTACAGAATGATGTTCCATATTTATCAGCCCTCCAGCTTTGTTGCTCACAGCATGTTAGGCCTCTTGTTGCTGCTCGTGGGTAAACTATTGTAAACTTATCTTCTGTTGTTGCACCTGGCTACAACTGTTGATCAATTGCCAGTGAGCACGAAAAACCTTACCCCAAAAAACTCGGTCTCACACAGCTGTTGATCACCCCAAGGGCTTCTAGGAGGAGCCGCGCAGCTCGCAGATCTGCCACGGAGTGGCCATGCGTTGACATGGCAGGGATGGTAAGATGCTAAGGTAAGATGGAAACAACCGGATGACGGAGATATGAGACACTTTACCTGAACTTCACATCGATGTTCCTGCAGCCATTTGGGCTTGTTTTCCTGTTTCACTTCCACGACATTCCATGACCATTTTGAGTTCAAGTTCTGAGGCGAGCTCCGAAACTTCGGAGACTGGACAGTCTTCAGGAGATCCATCGGTCCGAAAACCTTGGTGCCGATGGTTGCCCCGATCGTACCTGTTGGTCTTGGTGATCAATGCCACTGCGACCCTTCTGCTGTGGCCTGCTGATGTTCCTGCTGATGTTTGGGATGTTGATCCCTGTCCACTCAAAGTTCGACTCTTCTTCTTTGGGCTGATGCTGTCGAGTTTGGGAGCCGGCTGCGTAGCAGCCTTTCTGGTGAGAAGGGCTGAAGCTTCAGATCATACAAAGTGGGCCTGTGGCTATGCCATAATCAACTGGATTCAAGCCATGTTGGGCTCACTGGGAATGGACAATCCAACGTCAGGGTACTGCAGGTATGGAGTGATACCACCTGGATATTCTGCACTACTAATTTGGTATTCTGCACTTGCATGGTGCCAATTGCTGCTGTATCTCGTTGCCGCTTTCTGGATGCAGACACTCATCGCTTCACGGCTGGATCTCTTGGAGCAATCTTCCAATCGGAACTACCGCAGCAGCTGCTTTCGCAAACTGATGTGGGCCCAAGTCTTTGGGGCAGCAGTGGTTCTGCTTCCCATTGCTGGCATGGTTCATGAGATCATTACGTGTGATAGCTACAGCGATAGTATCATTTTCGTTACAAGTGCCATGAGTCTGAGCGCAATAGGAGGCATCACATTGCTGTGCAATGCGGCAGCGAGCATAGTGGCCATTTGCTCTTTCGGAAAGTCTTACTTGGAGCTGCGGAGGATTTGTCGCCTGGCAGAAGCCAATGAGGCCTCCATCTCCGCAAGATCTTCCTTGAGACGAGCCCGAAGGTTTGCTGGTTTGCAAGGGTTGGGTGTATCATTTAGCCTCGTGTTCACGGTTCTGCTCGTTCCAGCGCGTGTTTTTTCTATTGGTCTTGGAAACTATGACAGCTATGACGCTTTGAAGGTGGTCTTGTTTCTTATTCAAGCTTTTGATGCCCTGGGAAATGCTGTGGCCGTTCTCCTTCTGTCCGGCAGCCACAGGATGGCCAAAGTTGAAAGGAGTCAGGGGAGCCAACGTAGCTGGAAAGTCGAAAAGCCTGAGCATAGCAGGAACAAACAGACTTCGCATGAAGATGTGAACTGGACTAGAAAGGTGGAAGAACTTTCAATGCGGGGGATGACTTTGAGGAGCCTCCTGCAGTTCTATCAAGAAAACCTCCCTTCAATGCCAGATTGGAAATATGCGCCCAGGGAACACAAGACCAGAGATGTGGTCCGAAGAGCAATCATCCCATTGACTAGCAGAGAAGAATGTGCATTCTCAGTTTCAGCTTTCAACAAGGATGGTCCGAAACGGGCACAGGTCATGGTGACCCACAATTGGGGCAACTCGTTCAGCGACTTGCTGGCTGCAGTGTTGTCGGATGCCCTGCAGGAATGCAGTTTCAGCTTGCCAGCAGAACTTCTGCAGGAGGATTGCGCTTTCCTGCATGACCTTCTGGCGAAAATGGGGCGGTTGGATGAGACGTATTGGATCTGTGCGTTTGCTGTGAACCAGCACATCAGCATCTGCCACAGCAACCCGTATGACCGGGATCCTTTCACAAATCAGCTGCACCCAGTGTGCCACTGCAACAGCACAAACATCATTGACCCGGATGGCCGAAGTGCTTCATCAGAGATCAACAAGTTTGATGACATGATGCGTCTTCTTGCCACGACTGGGGGATGCCGACAAGTGATTGCAGTGGACAAATCTCTGGATTTGTTTCCCCCTCGGGGGGGGGCGCGGCGGTTTCACCGGCGCGCGGGAATTAACCTGATTATAAATACCTCCCGACCTGACTACAGCATTTGTTCTGGTGCACATGGCGCTTTTCCTAGCCGAGTTCTTTGGCCATACAAGCTGGGGTTCAATTCCTCTGGAGACATGGTGCGGCTTGGGGTTCGTTTCCCCTGGAGACATGGTGCGGCTTGGGGTTCGATTCCCCTTTAGCATGGTGCGGCTTGGGGTTCAATTCCCTTGGAGACATGGTGCAGCTCGGGGTTCGATTCCCCTGGAAACATGGTGTGGCTTGGAGGCTTGAACTTTGGTGCGGTTGGTGCCAGCTGCCGAGGACTTTGCTGTGTCATGCATGCCGGGCTTGCGCCCACATTCATGCCAATTCGTTTCTTGTAGAGATGCAATTTTTGCTGGCCCTTTTGTCTTGGGGTCTCATGACTGGTTTTCTTTTGCAGATTTTGAAAGCCCAGATCGTGGGGGTCTTGGGCCCCTCCATATGTCAGCCTTGCTATCGTTGTCCTTCGCTCTGGCTTGGCCGTAATTCACTGCTACTTGGCCGGTTGGTGGCTCATTCTCCCGCTGCTCTTTCGCGCGGCGCCATGCCCGAGATGTTCATCGCACACCTGCGATCTTTAGGATCGCTTGCACGAGCGCGTGTCGCTCTTATGGCTGCTTAACCACAGCTTCGGCTGGCAGGTTGTATGTCTCTATTCATTCATTCATTCATTCATTCATTCATTCATTCATTCATTCATTCATTCATTCATTCATTCATTCATTCATTCATTCATTCATTCATTCATTCATTCATTCTGGATTTGTTTCGCCGTGCCTGGTGTGTGGCTGAGATTGCGGAAGCCAAACGTTTGCAGATGGACCAGTCATTGAAACTCTGGTCCAAAGCAACGCTGCAAGAACGCGCCCGGACATTGGAAAATTTGGATGTGCGGGACATGCGTGCCTCCTCCGAAAAGGACAAGGAACTCATCCTTGGCAAGATTCAGGATGTAGATGATTTCAATGCCGAGCTTCAGGTGCTCATTTTTGATCCAAAATCAGGCCTTGTTGCCACATGGAATGCCATGGATAGCCTGCAGCAGATTGGTGAAGTGGGCCGGCTCATTCGATGGGGCCTGGCAGATGCAGGCAGTGGAAAAGTGTGGAAAGCATGGGACGGCCACAACTGAATCCACTAAGCACAGCCCAGAAGAGGCATGTGCCAATCTCACTTTTGCGATCTGCCACCCGAAAGAGGCAGCAAATTCAGATTGGAACCAGCAAGAGTTTCGTGATTTTTGCAACGTGTTGCAGAATCTGACAATCCAAACATATCCAAACAACCAATTGAAGCACGTGCTCAAACTGAAACCCAACCAACATCCATTAGATTATCATCATTTTTCCTATGAAAGATGGCTATAGTTGGCTGAATCCACTAAGCACAGCCCAGAAGAGGCATGTGCCAATCTCACTTTTGCGATCTCCCACCCGAAAGAGGCAGCAAATTCAGATTGGATAAAATAGATGCAGGACCAGCAAGAGTTTCTTGATTCACCGGCACAAAGTGTTTGCAGACATTCTTTATGCAAACAAACAATTGGAGCACTTGGTTGAAAAATTTTGCGGGTTCAAACTTTCCAGGAGTCTCTGCGTTTGGTCGTGGAGCGGACGGAAGACATAGAACGCCTGCTCGGGCGGAAGGGTCGAGGTGGGGTGGCGGCCTTGTGATGTTCGCCTATTGATCTTCTATTTTTTTTGGTGGGATTGAGTTTCAGAGCTCTGAAAATAGACAATTTAAGTGGATAGGGCAAGTGTCCAATTTCAAACGAAGAATTCAAAGCCTGCAGCTTTGCAGGGAAAGAGTGAAGCACTTCCACTTCAGACCGATTTATGGAACTCTCAGGTTGAAGTTTTTGTTTTTTCTCTGCCTGCCTTCAGACAGCGACAGATGGGCCCTGCAGCGCAGGAGCAGTCTCAACGACCAGCTCAGTTGCTGGCGGCGCTGAAATATCCAGGATGGGTCCTTTTTTAAGGACTTGGATGGTTTAGTACGTGCCAACATTATCTTGGATAAGAGGCAATAAGAGGTCTCCAATTTTTGTGGTCTCACCATACAGATGATGGCCGTGTCACGCTGAAGACTCGCATGGATCCAGCCACATGGTAGGCCAAGGGACGATGCGATGCTCTTGGGATGTGGTGATTACTCGTGATTACCATGAACATCATGTGAATTACTATGGAATGGATTGGATTGGTACGTTGGGAGGTGACGAAGCCGAGAGATCCTGAAAGTGTCTAGTGACTGAATAGGATGTGAATCAGGCTGGCAGGATGGCGGTGGGCACAATGTGACATGAAACGTGGCAGTTCGCGGTGGTTTTTTCTCTAAGGCGTCAGTCACAGCGCGACAGTGGCCACTTTGTGGCCATCAGGATTTTGGAAGTTTCAGATCAATGTTTGTCTGAAACATCCGACTGATCCTAAATGGTCTAGTTCACCTTGTATCGTCACGAATTTCGACATGCAGCTGTGGTCTTATTGCTTGACTATTCGACACCATTCCGACCGCCACCCTGGCAGGAGCTGGTAGAGATGGCCATTCAGAAGATGACTGCTTGGCAAAGTTACAGGCGGGTGCACCAGTTGAGCCCAGAGCCACGAACGTAACTGGTTGGTGAAATGTTGGTTATACCCTGAGTTTTTCAGGGATGAAATTTGACAAATGCTGAAATCATCGTGAAAGTGGAGAAAATGGATCCAATCTTTGAAGACGCTCTACACGGGGCCTGCAGACGGATTTTCTTATGGCCAATCGTTTGAACTGTGGGGAGACATGCTCCCAGATCATCATTGCCTGACATATTCTCCATACAATCCCCTAATTCTTCCCGCAGTTCCACCAAAATTCCTGGCCACTACACCCAATTCAGTGGCTTATCTATGATAACATGAGGAGTCGTATCCAAATCCCCCCAAGACTACACGATCCAATCTTCATTTTTGGGTTTAAAAGGAGGTACATGCAGGGCCTTGGGGGCCTTGAGCACCACCCAGCCTGTCTCCCTACGCCAGGAAGTGAACGAGAAGCACGAAACTTTGGAAAAGACACTTGCCAAAGAAGAGGATAAACCTGGTGGTAGTTTGATGGCCGCCCTTTCCCCCTAATATGAAATACCAGCCAACACCCCTGGCGAGTTGCATTGGATCTATTCACTTTGGGTATCATATGGGGGGCATTTAATTTTTTGGGGGATGGAATTTCTTGAATTTCCTGCGGTAAATGGGGGGGATTGCAAAACCAGCCGTGAGAAGCGGGGGAGCACTGCCTCCCCCGAGAATGACCCCCAACTGGGCCTGGTCCAGGTGCCAGCTGATGCCATAGGGGGTTTGACTCATGGCCAGAGATGTTTATTTTGGGCGGAAACCCATAGGGTTGTGTACCTTCATGATCCAAGCAGATCCAAGGTATGGTGATCTGTGGTGTTTGGAGTCTGGGGATAAAGGAATGCAACGATGTTTTAATACCTTGAGTTAAATGGTGCGGTAAGAGGTTAGAATTTTTGCTAGCCAGAAACCAGTCCAATTTACCCACGAGCTTATTTGCCGATGCATTGGGCAAAGTTCAATGCACGCGGATGGGAATTGAAACATACGCCCAAAGATGCCACCAAAAATGGGCTTCAGACTTGCATTTTCATTGGAAACTGAGTTTTTTTTCTGAACATTTTTCATTTCCACTTAAATCTTCTGGATCCCAGAGTGATCGTCGTTGATAGATGTCTCAAGGTACATGGACCAAGTGACAGGCGTGGAAAGCTACTAGCATGGCCGTCACATGCTGTGACTATTTTGACATCATTTGTGCCGCAGGAATCTCACTCACATTGGCCACATTGGTGTTTTTGGGTACCATCGGCCACCCCAAAAAAAAACAAGGTAGGACGTTTGCTGAAAGATGACGGGAAATCTGCAGCTCCCATGGTTTTTGTCCGCATGACTTCTGTGTGCATGGCCTGAGCGATGAGCCAAACTGCCGCGTAAATTCCTTGGGAAACAGTTGTGATGGATATTCATGGTGGAATTTGGTAGAATTTGTATCAATATCAACAAATATATATATATATATAATATATATAATATATATAATATATATATAATATATATATATATACAATATATATATATAATATATATAATATATAATATATATAATATATAATATATATATAATATATATATATATCAATATTTTATATCATTTTATATGCCTATCTACAGAATCTTTCCGATTCTTCTGGGATCAAGCCCCAAGAGAGGCCCACCAGCCCTCTTTCGAGCGACTGGAGCACTTGGAAGGGTCAGGGCGCCCCAGCGGTTGAGCCCATGATTCACCAGCTAAGCATGGGGTTGGACCGGGTTGGGTCAACATCGAGGCCACAGTTTTGAAGCCATCGTTTCATATCATTTCCTCATCACAGATACAGATTTGTAATATATATTATGTATAATATGTAATATTTGCTCATACGCTGGGCTGCAGCGGCTACAGAATGATGTTCCATATTTATCAGCCCTCCAGCTTTGTTGCTCACAGCATGTTAGGCCTCTTGTTGCTCATGAATTATTTCACTTCTCGTGACTTCTCGTGGGCAAACTATTGTAAACTTCTCTTCTTCTGTTGTTGCACCTGACTACAACTATTGATCAACTTCCAGTGCCAGTGACTAGTCGGGTGTGGCAGCGACTTTTGCGGACCGAACGGATTTATGATGTTCCATATCTATCAGCCCTCCAGGTTTGTTGTTCACATCATGTTAGACCTCGTGTTGCTCATTACTTATTTAACACTTTTTGTGGGTAAACTATGGTAAACCTCTTCTCTCCTGTTGTTGCACCCAAAAAACTCGGTTTCACACAACTGTTGATCACCCCAAGGGCTAGGAATATCTTTCTGGTGACATTCAGATGTTGATCCTGGCGACCTCCAGCCATGGCACCGAGGATGTTAGAGCAGCCGGGAGGCGGAGGAGCCGCGCAGCCCGCAGATCTGCCACGGAGTGGCCATGCCCACGGCGTCAGTTGATCATCCCAGCCGTGATGTTGGTTGACATGGCAGGGATGGTAAGATACTAAGGTCAGATGGAAACAACCGGATTACGGAGATATGAGACACTTGATATGAACTTCACATCGATGTTCCTGCAGCCATTTGGGCTTGTTTTCCTGTTTCACTTCCACGACATTCCATGACCATTTTGAGTTCAAGTTCTGAGGCGAGCTCCGAAACTTCGGAGACTGGAAAGTCTTCAGGAGATCCATCGGTCCGAAAACCTTGGTGCCGATGGTTGCCCCGATCGTACCTGCTGGTCTTTGTCATCAATGCCACTGCGACCGTTCTGCTGTGGCCTGCTGATGCTGATGCTGTGGCCTACTATCATCCTGTCTGTCCACTTAAGATGCGACTCTTCTTCTTTGGGCTGATGCTGTCGAGTTTGGGAGCCGGCTGTGTAGCAGCCTTTCTGGTGAGAAGGGCTGAAGCTTCAGGTCATACAAAGTGGGCCTGTGGCTATGCCATAATCAACTGGATTCAAGCCATGTTGGGCTCACTGGGAATGGACAATCCAATGGGAGGGTACTGGCATTGCACGTATGGAGTGATACCAGATAAAGACTCCGGAGGCACAATTTGGTATTCTGCACTTGCATGCTGCCGATTGCTGCTGTATCTCGTTGCCTCTTTCTGGATGCAGACACTCATCGCTTCACGGCTGGATCTCTTGGAGCAATCTTCCAATCGGAACTACCGCAGTGGCTGCTTTCGCAGACTGGTGTGGGCCCAAGTCTTTGGGACAGCAGTTGCTCTGCTTCCCATTGCGGGCATAGTTCATGAGATCATTACGGCTGATAGCTACAGCGAAAGTATAATTTTCGCTACAAGTATCATGAGTCTGAGCGCAATATTGCTGTGCAATGTGGCAGCAAGCACAGTAGCCATTTTGCTCTTTCCGAAAGTCTTACTCGGAGCTGCGGAGGATTTGTCGCCTGGCAGAAGCCAATGAGGCGCCGATCTCCGCAAGATCTTCCTTGAGACGAGCCCGAAGGTTTGCTGGCTTGCAAGGGTTGGGTGTATCATTTAGCCTCGTGTTCACGGTTCTGCTCGTTCCAGCACGTCTTGTTTCTATTGCTTTTGTATCGCCTTATGACTATGACTCTTTGCAGGTGGTCTTGTTTCTTATTCAAGCTTTTGATGCCCTGGGAAATGCTGTGGCCGTTCTCCTTCTGTCCGGCAGCCACAGGATGGCCAAAGTTGACAGGAGTCAGGGGAGCCACAGGAGCTGGAAAGTCGAAAAGCCTGAGCATAGGAGAAACCAACAGACTTCGCATGAAGATGTGAACTGGACCAGAAAGGTGGAAGAACTCTCAATGCGGGGGATGACTTTGCGTAGCCTCCTGCAGTTCTATCAAGAAAACCTACCTTCGATGCCAGATTGGAAATATGCGCCCAGGGAACACAAGACCAGAGATGTGGTCCGAAGAGCGATCATCCCATTGACTAGCAGAGAAGAATGCGCATTCTCAGTTTCAGCTTTCAACAAGGATGGTCCGAAACGGGCACAGGTCATGGTGACCCACAATTGGGGCAACTCGTTCAGCGACCTGCTGGCTGCAGTGCTGTCGGATGCCCTGCAGGAATGCAGTTTCAGCTTGCCAGCAGAACTTCTGCAGGAGGATTGCGCTTTCCTACAGGACCTTCTGGCGAAAATGGGCCGGTTGGATGAGACATACTGGATATGTGCGTTTGCTGTGAACCAGCACATCAGCATCTGCCACAGCAACCCGTATGACCGGGATCCTTTCACAAATCAGCTGCACCCAGTGTGCCAGTGCAACAGCACAAACATAGTTGACCCGGATGGCCGAAGTGCCTCGTCAGAGATCAACAAGTTTGATGACATGATGCGTCTTCTTGCCACGACTGGGGGATGCCGGCAGGTCATTGCAGTGGACAAATCCCTGGATTTGTTTCCCCCTCGGGGGGGGGGCGCAGCGGTTTCACCGGCGCGCGGGAATTAACCTGATTATAAATACCTCCCGACCTGACTACAGCATTTGTTCTGGTGCACATGGCGCTTTTCCTAGCTCCTAGCCGAGTTCTTTGGCCATACAAGCTGGGGTTCAATTCCTCTGGAGACATGGTGCGGCTTGGGGTTCGTTTCCCCTGGAGACATGGTGCGGCTTGGGGTTCGATTCCCCTTTAGCATGGTGCGGCTTGGGGTTCAATTCCCTTGGAGACATGGTGCAGCTCGGGGTTCGATTCCCCTGGAAACATGGTGTGGCTTGGAGGCTTGAACTTTGGTGCGGTTGGTGCCAACTGCCGAGGACTTTGCTGTGTCATGCATGCCGGGCTTGCGCCCGCATTCATGCCAATTCGTTTCTTGTAGAGATGCAATTTTTGCTGGCCCTTTTGTCTTGGGGTCTCATGACTGGTTTCCTTTTGCAGATTTTGAAAGCCCAGATCGTGGGGGTCTTGGGCCCCTCCATATGTCAGCCTTGCTATCGATGTCCTTCGCTCTGGCTTGGCCGTAATTCACTGCTACTTGGCCGGTTGGTGGCTCATTCTCCCGCTGCTCTTTCGCGCGGCGCCATGCCCGAGATGTTCATCGCACACCTGCGATCTTTAGGATCGCTTGCACGAGCGCGTGTCGCTCTTATGGCTGCTTAACCACAGCTTCGGCTGGCAGGTTGTATGTCTCTTTTCATTCATTCATTCATTCATCCTGGATTTGTTTCCCCTCGGGGGGGGGGCGCGGCGGTTTCCTCGGGGGGGGGGCGCGGCGGTTTCACCGGCGCGCGGGAATTAACCTGATTATAAATACCTCCCGACCTGACTACAGCATTTGTTCTGGTGCACATGGCGCTTTTCCTAGCCGAGTTCTTTGGCCATACAAGCTGGGGTTCAATTCCTCTGGAGACATGGTGCGGCTTGGGGTTCGTTTCCCCTGGAGACATGGTGCGGCTTGGGGTTCGATTCCCCTTTAGCATGGTGCGGCTTGGGGTTCAATTCCCTTGGAGACATGGTGCAGCTCGGGGTTCGATTCCCCTGGAAACATGGTGTGGCTTGGAGGCTTGAACTTTGGTGCGGTTGGTGCCAACTGCCGAGGACTTTGCTGTGTCATGCATGCCGGGCTTGCGCCCGCATTCATGCCAATTCGTTTCTTGTAGAGATGCAATTTTTGCTGGCCCTTTTGTCTTGGGGTCTCATGACTGGTTTCCTTTTGCAGATTTTGAAAGCCCAGATCGTGGGGGTCTTGGGCCCCTCCATATGTCAGCCTTGCTATCGATGTCCTTCGCTCTGGCTTGGCCGTAATTCACTGCTACTTGGCCGGTTGGTGGCTCATTCTCCCGCTGCTCTTTCGCGCGGCGCCATGCCCGAGATGTTCATCGCACACCTGCGATCTTTAGGATCGCTTGCACGAGCGCGTGTCGCTCTTATGGCTGCTTAACCACAGCTTCGGCTGGCAGGTTGTATGTCTCTTTTCATTCATTCATTCATTCATTCATTCATTCATTCATTCATTCATTCATTCACTGGATTTGTTTCGCCGTGCCTGGTGCGTGGCTGAGATTGCGGAAGCCAAACGTTTGCAGATGGACCAGTCATTGAAACTCTGGTCCAAAGCAACGCTGCAGGGACGCGCCCGGACATTGGAAAACTTGGATGTGCGGGACATGCGTGCCTCCTCGGAAAAGGACAAGGAACTCATCCTTGGCAAGATTCAGGATGTAGATGATTTCAATGCCAAGCTTCAGGTGCTCATTTTTGATCCAAAATCAGGCCTTGTTGCCACATGGAATGCCATGGATAGCCTGCAGCAGATTGGTGAAGTGGGCCGGCTCATTCGATGGGGCCTGGCAGATGCAGGCAGTGGAAAAGTATGGAAAGCATGGGAAAGCCACAACTGAATCCACTTTTTAAGCACAGCCCAGAAGAGGCATGTGCCAGTATCACTTTTGCAACCTGCCACCCGAAAGAGGCAGCAAATTCAGATTGGACCAGCAATAGTTTCGTGATTTTTGCAAAGTGTTGCAGAATCTGACAATCCAAACATATCCAAACAACCAATTGAAGCACGTGCTTGAACTGAAATCCAACCAGCATCCATTAGATTATTATCATTTTTCCTATGAAAGATGGCTATAGTTGGCTGAATCCACTAAGCACAGCCCATAAGAGGCATGTGCCAATCTCACTTTTGCAACCTGCTGCCCGAAGGGGCAGCAACATTTACATTGGATAAAATAGATGCAGGACCAGCAAGAGTTTCTTGATTCACCGGCACAAAGTGTTTGCAGACATTCTTTATGCAAACAAACAATTGGAGCACTTGGTTGAAAAGGTTTGCGGGTTCAAACTTTCCAGGAGTCTCTGCGTTTGGTCGTTGAGCGGACGGAAGACATAGAACGCCTGCTCGGGCGGAAGGGTCGAGGTGGGGTGGCGGCCTTGTGATGTTCGCCTATTGATCTTCTTTTTTTTTGGTGGGATTGAGTTTCAGAGCTCTGAAAATAGACAATTTAAGATAATTTAAGTGGATAGGGCAAGTGTCCAATTTCAAACGAAGAATTCAAAGCCTGCAGCTTTGCAGGGAAAGAGTGAAGCACTTCCACTTCAGACCGATTTATGGAACTCTCAGGTTGAAGTTTTTTTTTCTCTGCCTGCCTTCAGACAGCGACAGATGGGCCCTGCAGCGCAGGAGCAGTCTCAACGACCAGCTCAGTTGCTGGCGGCGCTGAAATATCCAGGATGGGTCCTTTTTTAAGGACCTGGATGGTTTAGTACGGGCCAACATTATCTTGGATAAGAGGTCTCCAATTTTTGTGGTCTCACCATACAGATGATGGCCGTGTCACAAGCTGAAGACTCGCATGGATCCAGCCACATGGTAGTTGGCCAAGGGACGATGCGATGCTCTTGGGATGTGGTGATTACTAGTGATTACCATGAACATCATGTGAATTACTATGGAATGGATTGGATTGGTACGTTGGGAGGTGACGAAGCCGAAAGATCCTTAGAGTGTCTAGTGACTGAATAGGATGCGAATCAGGATGGCAGGATGGCACAATGTGACATGAAACGTGGCAGTTCGCTGTGGTTTTTTCTCTGAAACATCGGAATGAATCCTCAATGGTCTAGTTCACCTTGTATCGTCTAGACATCTACATGCAGCTGTGGTCTTATGGCTTGACTATTCGACACCATTCCAACCACTGGCAGGAGCTGGTAGAGATGGCCATTTAGAAGATGACTGCCTGGCAAAGTTACAGGTGCACCGGTTGAGCCCAGAGCCACGAACGTAACTCGTTGGTGAAATGTTGGTGAAATACCGAGGAAAAAAACCCTAATTTCATAGGGGTTTTCAATTTGAGAAATGCTGAAATATGCTGAAATCATCGTGAAAGTGGAAAAAACGGATCCAATCTTTGAACACGCTCTACACGGGGCCGGCAGACGGATTTTCTTATGGCCAATCGTTTGAACTGTGGGGAGACATGCTCCCAGATCATCATTGCCTGACATATTCTCCATACAGTCCCCTAATTCTTCCCGCAGTTCCACCAAAATTCCTATACTACACCCAATTCAGCGGCTTATCTATGATAACATGAGGAGTCGTATCCAAATCCCCCCAAGACTACACGATCCAATCTTCATTTTTGGGTTTAAAAGGAGGTACATGCAGGGCCTTGGGGGCCTTGAGCACCACCCAGCCTGTCTCCCTACGCCAGGAAGTGAACGAGAAGCACGAAACTTTGGAAAAGACACTTGCCAAAGAAGAGGATAAACCTGGTGGTAGTTTGATGGCTGCCCTTTCCCCCTAATAACCCTAATATGAAATACCAGCCAACACCCCTGGCGAGTTGCATTGGATCTATTCACTTTGGGTATCATATGGGGGGCATTTAATATTAGTGGGATGGAATTTCTTGAATTTCTTGCGGTAAATGGGGAGAATGCAAACCAGCCGTGAGAAGCGGGGGAGAACTGCCTGTTTTCGCCACCGAAAATGACCCCAGTTGGACGAAGGGTCCAAAAGGCCCTGGTTCAGGTGCCAGCTATTGATGCCATAGGGGGTTTGACTCATGGCCATGTAGAGACATTCGGTAGGGCGGAAACCCATTGGTTGTAGGCTGTGTTGCTTTTTGTGGATAGGGTTGTTGTGTATTACCTTCACGATCCAAGCAAGGTATGGTGATCTGGGGATCAAGGAATGCAACGATGTTTTGATACCTTGAGTTAAATGGCAGAGGTTACATACAATTTTTGCATATTTTTGCTATGAGCCTATTGGCCGATGCATTGGGCAAAGATCAATGCAGAACGGAATTGAAACACAGCCGAAAGATGCCACCAAAAATGGGCTTCAGACTTGCATTTTCATTGGGAACTTAGGGTTTTTGCCGACCCATTGCCATTTCCACTTCAACTTCTGGACCCTAAAGTGATGGTCATTGATAGTCGAGCCACATGTCTCAAGGTACGTGGACGAAGTGACAGGCGTGGAAAGCTGCCAGCATGACCATCAGATGCTACAGCTATGATTCGACAGATTCGACATGAGATTTGACATATTGACATCATTTGTGCCGGAGGAATCTCACATTGGCCATGTTTTTTTTGTTTGCGGGTACCATCGGCCACCCCAAAACAAGGTAGGACGTTTGCTGAAAGATGACCAGGAAATCTGCAGCTCCCAGGGTTTTTTCCCGCACGACTTCTGTGTGGGGCCTGAGCGATGAGCCAAACTGCCGCGTAAATTCCTTGGGAAACAATTGTGATGGTGGATATTCATGGTGGAATTTGGTAGGATTTATATCAATATCAACAAATATATATATATATATAATTATATATATTTATATCAATATAAATCAATATTTTATATCATTTTATATGCCTATCTACAGAATCTTTCCGATTCTTCTGGATTACCAGAGGCTGCGTCCCGTTGACGCTGATCAAGCCCCAAGAGAGGCCCACCAGCTCTCTGTCGAAGAGAACTCTCTGTCGAGCGACTGGAGCACTTGGAAGGGTCAGGGCGCCCCAGCGGTTAAGCCCATGATTCACCAGCTAAGCATGGGTTGGACCGGGTTGGGTCAACATCGAGGCCACAGTTTTGAAGCCATCGTTTCATATCATTTCCTCATCGCAGATACAGATTTGTGATGTATATATATATATGTATATATCTGCTCATACGCTGGGCTACAGTGGCTACAGAATGATGTTCCATATTTATATTCATCAGCCCTCCAGCTTTGTTGCTCACAGCATGTTAGGCCTCTTGTTGCTCATGAATTATTTCACTTCTCGTGACTTCTCGTGGGTAAACTATTGTAAACCTCTTCTCTCCTGTTCTTGTACCTGACTAACTGTTGATCAACTTGCAGCAAGCACGAAAAACCTTACCCAAAAAATAGCTTTCACACAGCTGTTGATCACCCCAAGGGCTAGGAATATCTTTCTGGTGACATTCAGATGTTGATCCTGGCGACCTCCAGCCATGGCACCGAGGATGTTAGAGCAGCCGGGAGGCGGAGGAGCCGCGCAGCCCGCAGATCTGCCACGGAGTGGCCATGCCCACGGCGTCAGTTGATCATCCCAGCCGTGATGTCGGTTGACATGGCAGGGATGGTAAGATGCTAAGGTCAGATGGAAACAACCGGATTACGGAGATATGAGACACTTGATATGAACTTCACATCGATGTTCCTGCAGCCATTTGGGCTGGTTTTCCTGTTTCACTTCCACGACATTCCATGACCACTTCGAGTTCAAGTTCTGAGGCGAGCTCCGAAACTTCGGAGACTGGAAAGTCTTCAGGAGATCCATCGGTCCGAAAACCTTGGTGCCGATGGTTGCCCCGATCGTACCTGCTGGTCTTGGTGATCAATGCCACTGCGACCCTTCTGCTGTGGCCTGCTGATGCTGAGTTTCCTGATGGCTGGTACGATCCTGTCTGTCCACTTAAGATGCGACTCTTCTTCTTTGGGCTGATGCTGTCGAGTTTGGGAGCCGGCTGCGTGGCAGCCTTTCTGGTGAGAAGGGCTGAAGCTTCAGATCATACAAAGTGGGCCTGTGGCTATGCCATAATGAATCAACTGGATTCAAGCCATGTTGGGCTCACTGGGAATGAACAATCCACTGTGGGGGTACTGGCAATGCACGTATGGAGTGATACCAGATAGAGACTTCGGAGGTGATATTTGGTATTCTGCACTTGCATTGTGCCGATTGCTGCTGTATCTCGTTGCTTCCTTCTGGATGCAGACTCTCATCGCCTCACGGCTGGATCTCTTGGAGCAATCTTCCAATCGGAACTACCGCAGCAGCTGCTTTCGCAAACTGATGTGGGCCCAAGTCTTTGGGACAGCAGTGGCTCTGCTTCTCATTGCGGGCATGGTTCTTGAGATGGTCACTACGGGTGTTAGCAAGAGCGGAAGTATCATTCTCGTTACAAGTATCATGAGCCTGATCGCAATAGCAAGCATCACATTGCTGTGCAATTGGGCAGCGAGCATCGTGGCCATGTGCTCTTTCCGAAAGTCTTATTCGGAGCTGCGGAGGATTTGTCGCCTGGCAGAAGCCAATGAGGCGCCTATCTCCGCAAGATCTTCCTTGAGACGAGCCCGAAGGTTTGCTGGCTTGCAAGGGTTGGGTGTATCATTTAGCCTCGTGTTCACGGTTCTGCTCGTTCCAGCACGTCTTGTTTCTATTGCTTTTGTATCGCCTTATGACTATGACTCTTTGCAGGTGGTCTTGTTTCTTATTCAAGCTTTTGATGCCCTGGGAAATGCTGTGGCCGTTCTCCTTCTGTCCGGCAGTCACAGGATGGCCAAAGTTGAAAGGAGTCAGGGGAGCCAATGTGGCTGCTGGAAAGTCGAAAAGGCCGAGCATAGCAGAAACCAACAGACTTCGCATGAAGATGTGAACTGGACCAGAAAGGTGGAAGAACTCTCAATGCGGGGGATGACTTTGAGGAGCCTCCTGCAGTTCTATCAAGAAAACCTCCCTTCAATGCCAGATTGGAAATATGCGCCCAGGGAACACAAGACCAGAGATGTGGTCCGAAGAGCGATCATCCCATTGACTAGCAGAGAAGAATGTGCATTCTCAGTTTCAGCTTTCAACAAGGATGGTCCGAAACGGGCACAGGTCATGGTGACCCACAATTGGGGCAACTCGTTCAGCGACCTTCCTTCTGGCTGCAGTGCTGTCGGATGCCCTGCAGGAATGCAGTTTCAGCTTGCCAGCAGAACTTCTGCAGGAGGAGTGCACTTTCCTGCAGGACCTTCTGGCGAAAATGGGGCAGTTGGATGAGACGTACTGGATCTGTGCGTTTGCTGTGAACCAGCACATCAGCATCTGCCACAGCAACCCGTATGACCGGGATCCTTTGAGAGATCAGCTTCACCCAGTGTGCCACTGCAATAGCACAAACATAGTTGACCCGGATGGCCGAAGTGCCTCGTCAGAGATCAACAAGTTTGATGACATGATGCACCTTCTTGCCACGACTGGGGGATGCCGACAAGTGATTGCAGTGGACAAAGCTCTGGAGTTGTTTCTGCTCCTAGCCGAGTTCTTTGGCCATACAAGCTGGGGTTCAATTCCTCTGGAGACATGGTGCGGCTTGGGGTTCGTTTCCCCTGGAGACATGGTGCGGCTTGGGGTTCGATTCCCCTTTAGCATGGTGCGGCTTGGGGTTCAATTCCCTTGGAGACATGGTGCAGCTCGGGGTTCGATTCCCCTGGAAACATGGTGTGGCTTGGAGGCTTGAACTTTGGTGCGGTTGGTGCCAACTGCCGAGGACTTTGCTGTGTCATGCATGCCGGGCTTGCGCCCGCATTCATGCCAATTCGTTTCTTGTAGAGATGCAATTTTTGCTGGCCCTTTTGTCTTGGGGTCTCATGACTGGTTTCCTTTTGCAGATTTTGAAAGCCCAGATCGTGGGGGTCTTGGGCCCCTCCATATGTCAGCCTTGCTATCGATGTCCTTCGCTCTGGCTTGGCCGTAATTCACTGCTACTTGGCCGGTTGGTGGCTCATTCTCCCGCTGCTCTTTCGCGCGGCGCCATGCCCGAGATGTTCATCGCACACCTGCGATCTTTAGGATCGCTTGCACGAGCGCGTGTCGCTCTTATGGCTGCTTAACCACAGCTTCGGCTGGCAGGTTGTATGTCTCTTTTCATTCATTCATTCATTCATTCATTCATTCATTCATTCATTCATTCATTCACTGGATTTGTTTCGCCGTGCCTGGTGCGTGGCTGAGATTGCGGAAGCCAAACGTTTGCAGATGGACCAGTCATTGAAACTCTGGTCCAAAGCAACGCTGCAGGGACGCGCCCGGACATTGGAAAACTTGGATGTGCGGGACATGCGTGCCTCCTCGGAAAAGGACAAGGAACTCATCCTTGGCAAGATTCAGGATGTAGATGATTTCAATGCCAAGCTTCAGGTGCTCATTTTTGATCCAAAATCAGGCCTTGTTGCCACATGGAATGCCATGGATAGCCTGCAGCAGATTGGTGAAGTGGGCCGGCTCATTCGATGGGGCCTGGCAGATGCAGGCAGTGGAAAAGTGTGGAAAGCATGGGACGGCCACAACTGAATCCACTAAGCACAGCCCAGAAGAGGCATGTGCCAATCTCACTTTTGCGATCTGCCACCCGAAAGAGGCAGCAAATTCAGATTGGAACCAGCAAGAGTTTCGTGATTTTTGCAACGTGTTGCAGAATCTGACAATCCAAACATATCCAAACAACCAATTGAAGCACGTGCTTGAACTGAAACCCAACCAACATCCATTAGATTATCATCATTTTTCCTATGAAAGATGGCTATAGTTGGCTGAATCCACTAAGCACAGCCCAGAAGAGGCATGTGCCAATCTCACTTTTGCGATCTGCCACCCGAAAGAGGCAGCAAATTCAGATTGGATAAAATAGATGCAGGACCAGCAAGAGTTTCATGATTCACCGGCGCAAAGTGTTTGCAGACATTCTTTTTGCAAACAACCAATTGCAGCACTTGGTTGAAAAAATTTGCGGGTTCAAACTTTCCAGGAGTCTCTGCGTTTGGTCGTTGAGCAGACGGAAGACATAGAACGCCTACTCGGGCGGAAGGGTCGAGGTGGGGTGGCGGCCTTGTGATGTTCGCCTATTGATCTTCTATTTTTTTTGGTGGGATTGAGTTTCAGAGCTCTGAAAATAGACAATTTAAGATAATTTAAGTGGATAGGGCAAGTGTCCAATTTCAAACGAAGAATTCAAAGCCTGCAGCTTTGCAGGGAATGAGTGCAGCACTTCCACTTCAGACCGATTTATGGAACTCTCAGGTTGAAGTTTTTTTTCTCTGCCTGCCTTCAGACAGCGACAGATGGGCCCTGCAGCGCAGGAGCAGTCTCAACGACCAGCTCAGTTGCTGGCGCTGAAATATCCAGGATGAGTCCTTTTTTAAGGACCTGGATGGTTTAGTACGTGCCAACATTATCTTGGATAAGAGGCAATAAGAGGTCTCCAATTTTTGTGGCCTCACCAAAAATACAGATGATGGCCGTGTCACATGCTGAAGACTCGAATGGATCCAGCCGCATGGTTGGCCAAGGGATGATGTGATGCTCTTGGGATGTGGTGATTACTAGTGATTGCCATGAACATTATGTGAATTACTATGGATTGGTACGTTGGGAGGTGACGAACTAGCCAAAAGATCCTTAAAGTGTCTAGTGACTGAATAGGATGTGAATCAGGATGGCAGGATGGCGGTGGGTACAATGTGACATGAAACGTGGCAGTTCGCTGTGGTTTGAACTAAGTCTCGTCAGTCACAGCGCGACAGTGGCCACTTTGTGGCCATCAGGATTTTGGAATCTGAAACATCAATGTTTGTCTGAAACATCAGACTGATCCTAAATGGTCTAGTTCAGCTTGTATCGTCTAGAAATCGACATGCAGCTGTGGTCTTATTGCTTGACTCTTCCACACCATTCCAACCGCCACTGGCAGGAGCTGGTAGAGATGGCCATTCAAAAGATGACTGCTTGGCAAAGTTACAGGTGCACCGGTTGAGCCCAGAGCCACGAACGTAACTGGTTGGTGAAATGTTGGTGAAATACCGAGGAAAAAAACCCTAATTTCATAGGGTTTTTCAATTTGAGAAATGCTGAAATATGCTGAAATCATCGTGAAAGTGGCAAAAAACGGATCCAATCTTTGAACACGCTCTACACGGGGCCGGCAGACGGATTTTCTATGGTCAATCGTTTGAATTGTGCCGCGGGTGCACAGAGCAATTCTCGGGCTTACGGTACGTTGCCACCCATGGCCAAATCTCATGACATTACGTAGGAACCTCCATGGCCGAGACTTCCCCAGATCATCATTGCCAGACTTATTATCCATAAGACCCCTATGCCTGCGCAGTTCCACCAAAATTCCGGGCCTATATATACACCCAATTCAATGGATTATTTATGATGACATGAGGATTCGTATCCAAACCCATCCCCCAACCAAGGCTGTCCAATCATTCTACGAGGTATATGCAGGGTTTTGATCTACACACATAGAGCACCACCGGGTCTCCCCGATAAGAGTCACAGGAGGTGAACGGGCACGAAATCTTAGGACACTCGCCCCAGAAGAGGATAAACCTGGTAGTTTGATGGCCGCCCTTTCCCCCTATGAAATACCACCCAAAACCCCTGGCGAGTTGCATTGGATCTATTCACTTTGGGTATCATATGGGGGGCATTTAATTTTTTGGGGGCGTGAGAAGCGGGGGAGCACTGACTGTTTTCGCCACCGAAAATGACCCCAGTTGGACGAAGGGTCCAAAAGGCCCTGGTTCAGGTGCCAGCTATTGATGCCATAGGGGGTTTGACTCATGGCCAGAGATGTTTTTTTTGTGCGGAAACCCGTAGGGTTGTGTGCCTTCATGATCCAAGCAGATCCAAGGTATGGTGATCGGATGTTTGGAGCCTGAGGATCAAGGAATGCAACGATGTTTTGATACCATGCGTTAAATGGTGCGGTAGAGGTTACACAATTTTTGCATTTGCCGACCCATTGCCATTTCCACTCCACTTGGTGTTTGGAGTCTGGGGATCAAGGAACAATTTTTGCTAGCCAGAAATCAGTCCAATTTTCCCACGAGCTTATTTGCCGATGCATTGGGCAAAGTTCAATGCACGCGGATGGGAATTGAAACATACGCCCAAAGATGCCACCGAAAATGGGCTTCAGACTTGCATTTTCATTGGGAACTTAGTTTTTTTTTCTGAACATTTTTCATTTCCACTCAAATCTTCTGGATCCCAGAGTGATCGTCGTTAGATGTCTCAAGCTACATGGACCAAGTGACAGGCGTGGAAAGCTGCTGGCATGGCCGTCACATGCTGTGACTATTTTGACATCATTTGTGCCGCAGGAATCCCACATTGGCCATGTTTTTTTTTGTTTTTGGGTACCATCGGCCACCCCAAAAAAAACAAGGTAGGACGTTTGCTGAAAGATGACCGGGAAATCTGCAGCTCCCGTGGTTTTTTTCCGCATGACTTCTGTGTGCATGGCCTGAGCGATGAGCCAAACTGCCGCGTAAATTCCTTGGGAAACAGTTGTGATGATGGATATTTATGGATATTTGTGGTGGAATTTGGTAGGACTTATATCAATATCAACAAATATATATATATATATAATTATATATATTTATATCAATATAAATCAATATTTTATATCATTTTATATGCCTATCTACAGAATCTTTCCGATTCTTCTGGATTACCAGAGGCTGCGTCCCGTTGACGTTGATCAAGCCCCAAGAGAGGCCCACCAGCTCTCTGTCGAGCGACTGGAGCACTTGGAAGGGTCAGGGCGCCCCAGCGGTTGAGCCCATGATTCACCAGCTAAGCATGGGGTTGGACCGGGTTGGGTCAACATCGAGGCCACAGTTTTGAGGCCATCGTTTCATATCATTTCCTCATCACAGATACAGATTTGTGATGTATATAATATGTAATTATATGTAATATCTGCTCATACGCTGGGCTACAGTGGCTACAGAATGATGTTCCATATCTATCAGCCCTCCAGCTTTGTTGCTCACAGCATGTTAGGCCTCTTGTTGCCTCTAGTTGCTCATGAATTATTTCACTTCTCGTGACTTCTCGTGGGTAAACTGTTGTAAACTTCTCTTCTCCTGTTGTTGCACCTGAATACAACTGTTGATCAATTTCCAGTAAACACGATAAACCTTACCCCAAAAACTCGGTTTCACACAGTTGTTGATCACCCCAAGGGCTTCTAGGACTATCTTTCTGGTGACATTTAGATTTTGATCCTGGCCACCTCGCAGACATGGCACTGAGGATGTTGGAGCAACCGGGAGGCGGAGGAGCCCATGCCCGCGGCGTCAGCTGATCCCAGCCGTGATGTCAGTTGACATGGCAGGGATGGTAAGATGCTAAGGTCAGATGGAAACAACCGGATGACGGAGATATGTGACACTTTACCTGAACTTCACATCGATGTTCCTGCAGCCATTTGGGCTGGTTTTCCTGTTTCACTTCCATGACATTCCATGACCATTTCGAGTTCAAGTTCTGAGGCGAGCTCCGAAACTTCGGAGACTGGAAAGTCTTCAGGAGATCCATCGGTCCGAAAACCTTGGTGCCGATGGTTGCCCCGATCCTACCTGCTGGTCTTTGTCATCAATGCCACTGCGACCGTTCTGCTGTGGCCTGCTGATGTTGAGTTTCCTGATGGCTGGTACGATGATCCTCCTGTCTGTCCACTCAAATTTCGACTCTTCTTCTTTGGGCTGATGCTGTCGAGTTTCGGAGCCGGCTGTGTAGCAGCCTTTCTGGTGAGAAGGGCTGAAGCTTCAGGTCATACAAAGTGGGCCTGTGGCTATGCCATTGTCAACTGGATTCAGGCCATGTTGGGCTCACTGGGGATGACCGATCTAGTGGAGGCGCACTTGCATTGTGCCGATTGCTGCTGTATCTCGTTGCCGTTTTCTGGATGCAGACACTCATCGCTTCACTGCTGGATCTCCTGGAGCAATCTTCCAATCGGAACTACCGCAGTAAGTGCTTTCGCAGACTGATGTGGGCCCAAGTCTTTGGGACAGCAGTGGCTCTGCTTCCCATTGCGGGCCTGCTCTTTTATTCGGCCTACAACGATAGTATCATTTTCTACAGCGACAGTACAAGTACCATGAGCCTGTTCGCAATAGGAGGCATCACATTGCTGTGCAATTGGGCAGCGAGCATCGTGGCCATTTGCTCTTTCCAAAAGTCTTATTTGGAGCTGCGGAGGATTTGTCGCCTGGCAGAAGCGAATGAGGCCTCCATCTCCGCAAGATCTTCCTTGAGACGAGCCCGAAGGTTTGCTGGCTTGCAAGGGTTGGGTGTATTATTTGGCCTCGTGTTCACGCTTCTGCTCGTTCCAGCACGTCTTGTTTCTACTTATGTTGCAAACTATGACAGCTATGACTCTTTGAAGGTGGTCTTGTTTCTTATTCAAGCTTTTGATGCCCTGGGAAATGCTGTGGCCGTTCTCCTTCTGTCCGGCAGTCACAGGATGGCCAAAGTTGAAAGGAGTCAGGGGAGCCACAGGAGCTGGAAAGTCGAAAAGGCCGAGCATAGCAGAAACCAACAGACTTCGCATGAAGATGTGAACTGGACTAGAAAGGTGGAAGAACTTTCAATGCGGGGGATGACTTTGAGGAGTCTCCTGCAGTTCTATCAAGAAAACCTCCCTTCAATGCCAGATTGGAAATATGCGCCCAGGGAACACAAGACCAGAGATGTGGTCCGAAGAGCAATCATCCCATTGACTAGCAGAGAAGAATGTGCATTCTCAGTTTCAGTTTTCAACAAGGATGGTCCGAAACGGGCACAGGTCATGGTGACCCACAATTGGGGCAACTCGTTCAGCGACCTGCTGGCTGCAGTGCTGTCGGATGCCCTGCAGGAATGCAGTTTCAGCTTGCCAGCAGAACTTCTGCAGGAGGATTGCGCTTTCCTACAGGACCTTCTGGCGAAGATGGGGCGGTTGGATCACACGTATTGGATCTGTGCGTTTGCTGTGAACCAACACATCAGCATCTGCCACAGCAACCCGTATGACCGGGATCCTTTCACAAATCAACTGCACCCAGTGTGCCAGTGCAACAGCACAAACATCATTGACTCGGATGGCCGAAGTGCTTCGTCAGAGATCAACAAGTTTGATGACATGATGCCTCTTCTTGCCACGACTGGGGGATGCCGACAAGTGATTGCAGTGGACAAACCTCTGGATTTGTTTCGCCGTGCCTGGTGTGTGGCTGAGATTGCGGAAGCCAAACGTTTGCAGATGGACCAGTCATTGAAACTCTGGTCCAAAGCAACGCTGCAGGGACGTGCCCGGACATTGGAAAATTTGGATGTGCGGGACATGCGTGCCTCCTCCGAAAAGGACAAGGAACTCATCCTTGGCAAGATCCAGGACGTAGATGATTTCAATGCCAAGCTTCAGGTGCTCATTTTTGATCCAAAATCAGGCCTTGTTGCCACATGGAATGCCATGGATAGCCTGCAGCAGATTGGTGAAGTGGGCCGGCTCATTCGATGGGGCCTGGCAGATGCAGGCAGTGGAAAAGTGTGGAAAGCATGGGACAGCCACAACTGAATCCACTAAGCACAGCCCAGAAGAGGCATGTGCAAATATCACTTTTGCAACCTGACACCCACAAGAGGCAGCAAAATTCAGTTTGGATAAAATAGATGCAGGACCAGCGAGATTTTCATGATTTTTGCAAAGTGTTGCAGAAATTCGCAATCCAAACATATCCAAACAACCAGTTGCAGCACGTGCTTGAACTGAAATCCAACCAACATCCATTGGATTATCATCATTTTTCCTAGGAAAAATGGCTACGGATGGACCAATTTTTTGTGGCTTCAGACTTTCCAGGAGTACGTCTGGAGGGTCGAGGCAGGTGATGACCAACATGTGCCATGGTTCATTCTCCATTTTTGGATTGCGGAAAGGGAATATATGCCAGAAACCAGGTTTTTCCCGGTACATCAAGGAGTTTCCGGAAAATTTTCCAATGATCCAATTCTGGGACATTTGATATTCCAATTTTTTTTTCTATCTATCTTTTGGCATTCAACATTGGTTTTCAATACATCTAGTGGCATGATCATCTCCCAAGTACCGAGGGGTTAGCAAGTGTCATGACGGATTTTTTCCGGCCAACCGGAGCAGGGCACCTTTTGTTGGCCTGGAAAGAGTCGATCCTTCACCCCGCGGGCCTGTGCTGGAAGGCGATGCTGACGATGGGAAAAGAAGAGCTCCAAGTTGGTAGCTTAAAGTTCCAGTGCCAGTGACTAGTGTCGGGTGTGGTAGCCACTTTGCGGACACTACGGATTTACGATGTTCCATATTTATCAGCCTTCCAGGTTTGTTGTTCACAGCACGTTAGACGTTGTGTTGCTCATTACTTATTTCATTTTTTGTGGATAAACTATGGTAAACCTCTTCCCTCTTGTTGTACCTGACTGCAACTGTTGATCAACTTCCAGTGAGCACGAAAAACCTTACCCCAAAAAACTCGGTTTCACACAGCTGTTGATTACCCCAAGGGCTTCTAGGATTCTAGATATATGTTTCTGGTGGTTTCTCAGATGTTGATCCTGGCGACTTCCCAGACATGGCACTGAGGATGTTGGAGCAGCCGGGAGGCGGAGGAGGAGCCGCGCAGCTCGCAGATCTGCCACGGAGTGGCCATGCCCATGGCGTCAGTTGATCATCCCAGCCGTGATGTCAGTTGACTTTGCACGGAGGGATGGTAAGATGCTAAGGTAAGATGGAAGCAACCGGATGACGGAGATATGTGACACTTTATTTGAACTTCACATCGATGTTCCTGCAGCCATTTGGGCTGGTTTTCCTGTTTCACTTCCATGACATTCCATGACCATTTCGAGTTCAAGTTCTGAGGCGAGCTCCGAAACTTCGGAGACTGGAACGTCAGGAGATCCATCGGTCCGAAAACCTTGGTGCCGATGGTTGCCCCGATCGTACCTGCTGGTCTTTGTCATCAATGCCACTGCGACCCTTCTGCTGTGGCCTGGTGATGCTGAGTTTCCCTGTCCACTCAAATTTCGACTCTTCTTCTTTGGGCTGATGCTGTCGAGTTTGGGAGCCGGCTGTGTAGCAGCCTTTCTGGTGAGAAGGGCTGAAGCTTCAGGTCATACAAAGTGGGCCTGTGGCTATGCCATAATCAACTGGATTCAAGCCATGTTGGGCTCACTGGGAATGGACAATCCTGCAGTGGTTGGTAACTGCAGGTATGGAGTGATACCACCTGGATGGACACGCAGAGGCATAATTTGGTATTCTGCACTTGCATTGTGCCGATTGCTGCTGTATCTCGTTGCTTCCTTCTGGATGCAGACTCTCATCGCCTCACGGCTGGATCTCTTGGAGCAATCTTCCAATCGGAACTACCGCAGCAGCTGCTTTCGCAAACTGATGTGGGCCCAAGTCTTTGGGACAGCAGTGGCTCTGCTTCCCATTGGGGGCATGGTTCATGAGATCATTACGGGTGATAACTACAGTATCATTTTCCTTACAAGTATCGTGAGTCTGATCACAATAGGAGGCATCACATTGCTGTGCAATGTGGCAGCGAGCATAGTGGCCATTTGCTCTTTGCGAAAGTCTTACTTGGAGCTGCGGAGGATTTGTCGCCTGGCAGACGCCAATGAGGCCTCCATCTCCGCAAGATCTTCCTCGAGACGAGCCCGAAGGTTTGCTGGTTTGCAAGGGTTGGGTGTATCATTTGGCCTCGTGTTCACGCTTCTGCTTGTTCCAGCATGTGTTTTTTCTATGTTTGTGGTTCATGAAAGCTATGGCTCTTTGAAGGTGGTCTTGTTTCTTATTCAAGCTTTTGATGCCCTGGGAAATGCTGTGGCCGTTCTCCTTCTGTCCGGCAGTCACAGGATGGCCAAAGTTGAAAGGAGTCAGGGGAGCCACAGGAGCTGGAAAGTCGAAAAGCCTGAGCATAGCAGAAACAAACAGACTTCACATGAAGATGTGAACTGGACCAGAAAGGTGGAAGAACTTTCAATGCGGGGAATGACTTTGCGGAGCCTCTTGCAGTTCTATCCAGAAAACCTCCCTTCAATGCAAGATTGGAAATATGTGCCCAAGGAACACAAGACCAGAGATGTGGTCCGAAGAGCAATCATCCCATTGACTAGTAGAGAAGAATGTGCGTTCTCAGTTTCAGCTTTCAACAAGGATGGTCCGAAACGGGCACAGGTCATGGTGACCCACAATTGGGGCAACTCGTTCAGCGACCTGCTGGCTGCAGTGCTGTCGGATGCCCTGCAGGAATGCAGTTTCAGCTTGCCAGCAGAACTTCTGCAGGAGGATTGCGCTTTGCTGCAGGACCTTCTGGCGAAAATGGGGCGGTTGGATGAGACGTACTGGATCTGTGCGTTTGCTGTCAACCAGCACATCAGCATCTGCCACAGCAACCCGTATGACCGGGATCCTTTCACAAATCAGCTGCACCCAGTGTGCCAGTGCAACAGCACAAACATCATTGACTCGGATGGCCGAAGTGCTTCGTCAGAGATCAACAAGTTTGATGACATGATGCGTCTTCTTGCCACGACTGGGGGATGCCGACAAGTGATTGCAGTGGACAAATCCCTGGATTTGTTTCGCCGTGCCTGGTGCGTGGCTGAGATTGCGGAAGCCAAACGTTTGCAGATGGACCAGTCACTGAAACTCTGGTCCAAAGCAACGCTGCAAGAACGTGCCCGGACATTGGAAAATTTAGATGTGCGGGACATGCGTGCCTCCTCGGAAAAGGACAAGGAACTCATCCTTGGCAAGATCCAGGACGTAGATGATTTCAATGCCAAGCTTCAGGTGCTCATTTTTGATCCAAAATCAGGCCTTGTTGCCACATGGAATGCCATGGATAGCCTGCAGCAGATTGGTGAAGTGGGCCGGCTCATTCGATGGGGCCTGGCAGATGCAGGCAGTGGAAAAGTGTGGAAAGCATGGGACGGCCACAACTGAATCCACTAAGCACAGCCCAGAAGAGGCATGTGCCAATCTCACTTTTGCGATCTGCCACCCGAAAGAGGCAGCAAATTCAGATTGGATAAAATAGATGCATGACCAGCAAGAGTTTCGTGATTTTTGCAACGTGTTGCAGAATCTGACAATCCAAACATATCCAAACAACCAATTGAAGCACGTGCTTGAACTGAAACCCAACCAACATCCATTAGATTATCATCATTTTTCCTATGAAAGATGGCTATAGTTGGCTGAATCCACTAAGCACAGCCCAGAAGAGGCATGTGCCAATCTCACTTTTGCGATCTGCCACCCGAAAGAGGCAGCAAATTCAGATTGGATAAAATAGATGCAGGACCAGCAAGAGTTTCATGATTCACCGGCGCAAAGTGTTTGCAGACATTCTTTATGCAACCAAACAATTGCAGCACTTGGTTGAAAAAAATTGCGGGTTCAAACTTTCCAGGAGTCTCTGCGTTTGGCCGTTGAGCGGACGGAAGACATAGAACGCCTACTCGGGCGGAAGGGTCGAGGTGGGGTGGCAGCCTTGTGATGTTTTGCCTATTGATCTTCTATTTTTTTTTTTGGTGGGATGGAGTTTCAGAGCTCTGAAAATAGACAATTCAAGTGGATATGGCAAGTGTCCAATTTCAAACGAAGAATTCAAAGCCTGCAGCTTTGCAGGGAAAGAGTGAAGCACTTCCACTTCAGACCGATTTATGGAACTCTCAGGTTGATTTTTTTTCTCTACCTTCAGACAGCGACAGATGGGCCCTGCAGCGCAGGAGCAGTCTCAACGACCAGCTCAGTTGCTGGCGGCGCTGAAATATCCCAACAGGATGGGTCCTTTTTTAAGGACCTGGATGGTTTAGTACGTGCCAACATTATCTTGGATGATGGCCGTGTCACATGCTGAAGACTCGAATGGATCCAGCCACATGGTTGGCCAAGGGACGATGCGATGCTCTTGGGATGTGGTGATTACTAGTGATTACGAACATCATGTGAATTACTATGGATTGGATTGGATTGGTACGTTGGGAGGTGAGGAAGCCGAAAGATCCTCAAAGTGTCTAGTGACTGAATAGGATGTGAATCAGGATGGCAGGATGGCGGGCACAATGTGACATGAAACGTGGCAGTTCGCTGTGGTTTGAACTAAGTCTTGTCAGTCACAGCGCGACAGTGCCCATTTTGTAGCCATCAGGATTTTGGAATCTGAATCAATGTTTGTCTGAAACATCGGAATGATCCTCAATGGTCTAGTTCAGCTTGTATCGTCTAGAAATCGACATGCAGCTGTGGTCTTATTGCTTGACTCTTCCACACCATTCCAACCGCCCTGGCAGGAGCTGGTAGAGATGGCAATTCAGAAGATGACTGCCTGGCAAAGTTACAGGTGCACCGGTTGAGCCCAGAGCCACGAACGTAACTGGTTGGTGAAATGTTGGTGAAATACCGAGTTATACCCCTAATTTCATAGGTTTTTTCAATTTGAGAAATGCTGAAATATGCTGAAATCATCGTGAAAGTGGAAAAAACGGATCCAATCTTTGAACACGCTCTACACGGGGCCGGCAGACGGATTTTCTTATGGCCAATCGTTTGAACTGTGCCGCGGGCGCACAGAGCAGCGCTCGGGCTTACGGTACGTTGCCACCCATGGCCCAATCTCATGACATTACGTAAGAACCTCCATGGGCGAGACTTCCCCAGATCATTGCCAGACTTATTATCCATAAGACCCCTATGCCTGCGCAGTTCCACCAAAATCCCTAGCCTATATATACACCCAATTCGCTGGATTATTTATGATGACATGAGGATTCGTATCCAAACCCATCCCCCAACCAAGGCTATTCAATCATTCTACGAGGTATATGCAGGGTTTTGATCTACACACATGCATAGAGCACCACCGGGTCTGTCTCCCCGATAAGAGTCACAGGAGGTGAACGAGCGCGAAATCTTAGGACACTCGCCCCAGTAGAGGATAAACCTGGTAGTTTGATGGCCGCCCTTTCCCCCTATGAAATACCAGCCAACACCCCTGGTGAGTTGCATTGGATCTATTCACTTTGGATATCATATGGGGGGCATTTAATATTAGGGGCGTGAGAAGCGGGGGAGCACTGCCTGTTTTCGCCACCGAAAATGACCCCAGTTGGACGAAGGGTCCAAAAGGCCCTGGTTCAGGTGCCAGCTATTGCCATAGGGGGTTTGACTCATGGCCAGAGATGTTTGGTAGGGCGGAAACCCACTGGTTGTAGGCTGTGTTGCTTTTTGTGCATAGGGTTGTTGTGTACCTTCATGATCCAAGCAAGGTATGGTGATCGGATGTGGTGCTTGGAGTCTGGGGATCAAGGAATGCGATGTTTTAATACCTTGAGTTAAATGGTGCGGTAGAGGTTACACAATTTTTTCTAGCCAGAAATCAGTCCAATTTTCCCACGAGCTTATTTGCCGATGCATTGGGCAAAGTTCAATGCACGCGGATGGGAATTGAAACATACGCCCAAAGATGCCACCAAAAATGGGCTTCAGACTTGCATTTTCATTGGAAACTTAGTTTTTTTTTCTGAACATTTTTCATTTCCACTTAAATCTTCTGGACCCCAGAGTGATCGTCATTGATAGTCGAGCCACATGTCTCAAGGTACGTGAACAAAGTGACAGGCGTGGAAAGCTGCCAGCATGGCCGTCAGATGCTACAGCTATGATTCGACAGATTCGACATGAGATTCGACATATTGACATCATTTGTGCCTCAGGAATCTCACATTGGCCATGTGTTTTTGTTTTCGGGTACCATTGGCCCCGGCCACCCCAAAACAAGGTAGGACGTTTGCTGAAAGATGACCGGGAAATTTGCAGCTCCCATGGATTCCGCATGACTTCTGTGTGCATGGCCTGAGCGATGAGCCAAACTGCCGCGTGAATTCCTTGGGAAACAGTTGTGATGGATATTCATGGTGGAATTTGGTAGGATTCCCACCGAAACCAGTTACTTAGTTACTTCTCATATTTTTGCGGCCGCCAGCGGCACATGGCAGGAATTGGCAGACACAAATTGGAGGCCCGGTGATGCTGGAGAATCAAGCAGACGATATGGGTTTGTCTGAGAGGGCACCCCAAAATCCAGTGGATAATCATCACCAATCATCATTTTTTCTCATTTTGCATCTTGGAGATATACCCCTACCCCCTCAGACAAAGCCCAGAATACGTTTCGCTTGGGCCAAGCGCTTCTTCCGTCACCCAGTGCAGAGGCTTCGTTTTCCAGCTGCAGCTGTGATCCCACAGAATCATGCCGGGTAAAAAGCGTCTGGCAATCTGGCAATGGAAAACCATTCCTATTTATATCAACAATATAATATAAATAAATAAATAAATATATATATATATATATATGTGAAAGCACATCATGTCCTTCAGACCTTTCTTTTGACCTGTCTAACAGGCCTTGAGCATTTGGCTCTACGTCACCAGAAAAGGTGTACGCTAGCCTTGCCCCTGTTGTGACTTGGGTGTAGGCGGCTGCCATTTCACAGTGGTAGCTGGAGCCCGCCGTGGTCCAGTGCCCTTTCGTTGCTGTGCGCTGCTTCGCTGACTACTTCCTCTTCTACTTGGACGCGGACTTTGTGAACATCGTCTACTACCTCTACTTGGACTTGGCCTTCGACTACATCTTGAACTACCTGACCTTGGACTTGGCCTACGACGACATCCTGGACTACCTGACCTTCGACCTGGTGCGGACTACAACCTCTACTACCTGGTCTCGCTGGTTCCTGTTCTACCTGGACGTGCTGCTCATCGACTACATCCTGTACTACCTGGACCTGCTTGGCTCTTTGGGCGCTTGGTGTTGGTGGCCGAAACTATTTCCTGGACTACCTCTACAAGTTCCCTTGGCTGATGGCGGACGATGAGAAGAAGGAGGAACGTGGGTTTGACAGCTACATCCCCGTTTGGGATGGGCGGTCAGACAGCCTGCGTGACTTCAAACGCAGTGTGACATGGTGGCTGAGTTCGATCGACTTGAAGAAGACCACCGACTTCAACTTGGCAGCTCGCTTCGCTATGAGGCAGAAGGGCAGTGCCAGACTTCGGGCCTTGGAGTTTGACCCGAAGGACTTGGAGTACAAGCCTGCGAAAAAGGAGCTCAATGTGGAGACCGGCATGGAGGAGGACATCCCTGCCCAGTATGACTACGGCATCCAAAGGATCTTGTCATCATGGGAGGAGATGGTTGGACGCACCGCCCTTGACAGGAAGGGCGAACTGAGAGAAAGGTTTTACATGACCCTCAAACGAGGACGCAGTGAAAGCATCCCGAACTTCGCAATGAGGTTCAGGACCTTGGTCGGGGAGATGAAAGCTGAAGGTGTGAATGTGGACCCTTCAGAACAAGCTTGGTTCTTCAAGCAGAAGCTTCAGCTCTCGGAGATACAGAAACAGATGTTGGAGACAACGTTGGTGTCCGACACAGACAACTATGGAATATGTGAACGAGAAGCTGTGAGGCTTTTCAAGCGGGTTCACATGGCTGGTGGATACCAACGCCCTGGAGGTGGTGGCAACTTTCAGAAAAGAACAACTAGCCTGACATCCTCAACTTTGTCGAGGTTTCGCAAGAGTTTGCCTTCATCTTCATCATCGACTGCCTCTTCAAGCTGGCGTAGCAAGAACCGTCCTGGCTCGGTCTATGTGACCGAAGCGGAGGACACTGGTATGGATGAGGAAACCCATGAAAATGAAGCCAATGAGACTATTGGCGAGCTAGCAGAAGATGGAGCTGAAGATGATGGAGAAGACGATGAATTTCAAGGTTTACAGGAAACTTTGGAGATCCTGGCAACTGAGCTGGACGAAGCTGCGGCTGCTGGCCATAGCGAGGAGGAGCTTTCTACCCTGGAACAACAAGTGGATGATGCGGTAGAAGCTCTGGTTACCCTTCGTGAAGCTCGAGCTCAGATTGGAGCCCTTCGCAAGGATCGTGGCTTCAAAGGCCGTGGATCAGGTGGGAAACAAGCTGGTCGTGGCCGTGGAGGGGGTACCAAAGAAGGAAAATGTTTTGTCTGTGGCAAACCGGGCCACTGGCAAGGAGATGCAGAATGCCCTGGTCCTCCCAAAGGTCAACCTGTTGGACAAGGCCATAGTGGTGGACAAGGTCAACGTCCGATGCCGAAGTTTCCAAAGCCTTTGAAGAAACCAATTGTTGGAATGGTTGGCAAATCAACTTCCTACAAGCCTGCCGAAGGCAATGTTGTGGAGTCCAACGTGGTGGACTTGCTGCCTGCAGAGGTTGCTTTTACGGAAGCTGCCTTTGGTGTTCGTTTTGATGATTTGCCAGAGATCCATGAGATCAATGTGGTGAGCACCCTGTCTGAAGCTTTGGCAGCTAGCTCATCGACTCCAAAAGGTTTGGACCGGGACAAGATCAACATTGCTGCTGTGGACTCCGCCTGCAACAGAAGTTGTGCTGCAGCTGTTTGGATTCAGAATGTTCTGAAGGCCTTGAAGTTGGCCCCCAACTGGATTCAGAGCTTGGTGGAGGTGAAACAGCAAGTTGACTATTTTCGTTTTGGAAATGGAGGCGTGCTGCAGAGCGGCCAACGCATCCGACTTCCAGTTCCTTTGCTGGATCGTGTGGTTTTGATTTGGATTTGCGAAATCCCCTGCGATTCACTAGGTTGTCTCTTGGGCAAAGACTTCTTAGAAAGCCTTGGAGCTGTGCTGGATTTTGTGGGAAACAGGATGCAGCTGAAGTTTCTAGGAGATCGTTGGATACCCCTTTCAAAGATGAAAGCTGGTCACTATGGTTTGAATCTCTTGCCTGCCGACCCCAGCATTTGGCCTTCACTCATTGCAGAGCCGTGGCATTGTGTTGGAGTTGGAGGTGTTTGTGAGGTTCAATGTGAAGGAAAAATGGTTTGGAAGGTAAAATCCAAGATCGGTGCGGCTGGTGGTGACTTGAACATGGTTGTTCACTACATCCCACAGCCGTATCTCTCAAGAGAAGCCTTTGTGGCAGAAGATGCTGCCTGCCCAGACTCCGGTCAATCCCTCTCAACAGCGATGGACTCGCATGTTGGTCCGGATGCTGCTGCGGAAGAGATGGCATTTTCAAGGACTGCTCCTATGGCTGATTCAACGACCATTTTTGCGGTTTCTCCCAACGCCGCTTCCGATGGTCTCCACTGCAGTGGAATGGAAAGCTCAAGCTGTGGACATGGTGAAACGTCGCACTTGGCCGAAGCTTTGGCTGTCTCGAGTGCAACATCTGTTCACAGCGGTGCACCTCAAGGATGCCATCACGCTGAGATCTCGGATGGGGCTACTGGAATGCTTCATGGAAGACGAGGCGGTGACTTTCGGGTTGAAAGCCTTGAAAACAAGGAGCCGTGCTCGCCAACAAGCAGCCCTGGTGGAAGAGACTCACAAAGCAGTAGCCGCACTGGATGGCCAAAGAGAAGAGCTGGCACGAGAGCTCATAGGTCCCCGAGGAGGTCTCCCTCGCAACAAGACCGACTTGGTGAAGTTGGCGACGCTGCTGAAGGTGGACGTTCTGCCGAAGGACACCGTGGCGGACATCACGACCAAGGTGAAGCCCATAGTGGAGATTCTGAAGAACCGGATAGCTCTGAAGGAATCTCAGAAGAATGGGAAGAACCTGCAGACTCCGAGCGAGTCAGCCGTCCAACCAGGAGCAAGTCAGCCTCACCAACCGCTGCCTCTCCAGGATCTTCGTGGTCTTCCAGTGGGAATGGAGAGAGCAGAAAACATAGAGAACCCCGACTGGAACATGCTGCCTTGCATGGAGACTCTTCCCGCGATGTACCAGATGGATCGCGGAGAGGACGACATATAGAATCGGAAGAAGTGAGGAAGTCCATCGGAACTCTCACCGGTGGAGCCTTCCAGAAACTCAAGAGAGGCATCAGAGAAGTTTTGGTGGCTGCTGCCATCAAAGCCAAACGGCTGAAAGCCAAGCTTGGCGCTCCAAAGGACTATGTCATGGACACCATGGTGGAACGACACATGCAGAACCTGGAGAACATAGCCTGTGGAACTCATCGAGAGGGTTTTGCCTCAGAAATGCTGGTTCCTTCGTTGCCTGACCTTGCGGTGTATGAGACCGTGTACTTGCCGATTGCACGCATGGGAGAAAAGCGGGCAAGGAGGAAGAGACCAAAGGAAATTGATGAGTGGCGTTTTGGGCATCTCGCTGGCTGGATGTGCCGTGACCACTACACTCCACGGCGAACCTTTTTTGCCCCCTGGAATGGTGCGACAGCCCCTAGATGGCTTCCTGGAGCTGCCTTCACTGGCAAACGCCGAACAGTCATTTTCGATGACGAAGGCAACATAGATGACATGGTGGATGATGACTTCAGAGAGGGCAACAACCAGACTCGAGACAACGAATGGGTAGGTGAAACCTGGCTTGAAGTTTTCTGGCCTTTCTTGATGACAGCCTTCCCACATCCGAATGACATCGGAGCCTTTCCTGAGGAGATTCGTGTCTTGGGCGACGGTGGTGACATTGGCACTCACACTTTGGCCAATGGTGATCAGGTTTTCATTTCAAGAGACACCATGAACTGCATGGGAACCCTGCCCTTGGACAATGAGGTCCCCATCAGCACCTTTGTCAAGTATCATCGACATGACTGGATCACTTTGGAAAATCGAGTACTTCATCGAGATCGAGCCCTACATCGTCTCAAGTATGCCAATTTGGCAACGGAAGCAAGAGTCTTTCTTCAGATCCATCATCTTTCTTTGGTGGACCGAGAAGGTGAGAAGCCTCGAGAACCTTTCGTGGGAGAGCTCTACACGGAGACGGAGCCCATCTCTCGAGCTGCTCTTCGAAGAGGTCATGCAATTTGCCCTTCAGTGACACTGAAGACTGGCTATGATTTGAGACATCGCCGACATCGGAAGAGAGCAAACTTGCTGATCCGAAAGCATCGACCTTACTGCCTGGTGATTGCCTTTCCCTGCAGTGTTTGGTCGACTCTCCAAAACCTTGGACCAAAAGGAGACACTAGCAAGCGCAGAAGGCTTGAGAGGAGACGCAAGATGGAGGCCATCCTGGTGGAGTACGCCGCTGAGAAAGCTTTGGATCAACTTCTACATGGATGTCATTTTCTGATGGAAAACCCAGCCAGTTCCTCTGCCTGGCGACTGGTTGGAAAACTTCGAGAATTGGTCGAACGCCGAGCAGAGATTGGTCTCTACTACGTGCGGATCGATCAATGCTACTTCGGATTGAAGGGAGCAGGAGGTGGTTTGCACTACAAGCCCACCAACATCCTGACTTCGAGCTATGAGGTTGCATATGCCTTGCAGGACTGCCGATGCTCCAAGGATCACCAACATGAGCCGGTCATTGGAGGCCACAAGGTGACTGAGCTGGCAGGCCATTACCCCTCTGCACTTTCTGAGCTCATCTTGGATGGCTTAGAGGCTCAATTTGAACGTCTTTACCATGAGGTGAACGTGGCGTCACCTGAAGGTCCTGGAGAAGATGGTCATGAGACTGACGATGATGAGGACCTGGATGACGATGGTGATGACGATGGAGATCAACCCGACGACAACCTTGACATGGGAGAGATTGGAGATGGTCTTCATGCTGACCCGGAAGGTCGAGCCCCTGGAGAAGAAGCTTTAGAAGATGCTGAAGCTGCTGATCCTGGTGCAGATGGAGGTGATCAACCCACTACAGCTGAGAAGAAGCTTGCGGCCCACTTGCATGAGGTGACAGGACATCGACCTGTACTACGTCTTGCACGAGCTCTGGTTCTGACTGGTGCTCAGCCTGGACTTGTCAAGGCTGTGAAACAACACAAATGTGAAGTTTGCCAAGAACTGCCAACGGTGAAAACTCATCGACCTGCTGGCATTCCACGTGCCCGCAACTTCGGAGACAGAATCTACAGCGATTTGTTTTCGGTGCCTGATGCGCGCCTGGAGACTTTCTGGATAGCTCATGCCATTGATGGCGCTACCCGCTACCAGGTTGCCAAGGTGTTGGACAACAAGACTGCTCCGGAGGTGGTGAAGTTCATGGAGGAATCCTGGTTTCAACCATTGGGGATTCCAGCTTCAATGACTGTTGACATGGGGAAGGAGTTCACTTCAGCCCTCTTCATGGACAAAATGGCATTCTATGATGTTGCAGTTCATCACATACCTGTTGAAGCCCCATGGCAAAATGGACTTGCAGAACGGTCCGGTGGTGTGCTCAAAGCTGTTTTGCGAGCAACCATTCACCAGACCTCAGCCTTGGGAATGGATGATGTTCGTGGAGCCCTCACTGCAACGTTGGAGGCAATCAACACTGACACCGAAGGTGTTGGCTACAGCCCTTCTCAAATGGTTCTTGGAAAGAATCCACGAGTTGTGGGAGCTGCTGGAGCAAACGAACTTCGCTCACGGCTACCGACTCAAACTCGAGCTGATGAAGCAAGTTTTGCAAGAATGCAAGCAATGAGAGAGGTTGCAAAACTCTCTATGCTGAGGGTTCACTACTCTCGAGCACTTCGACGTGCCGCAGTGTCAAGACCAAGACCAACGATTGGATGGGAACACTACAGCATTGGCGACGTTGTATACTTTTTCAGGGAACAGAAGGCGATCCCAAAGAAGATGAAACTGATCCAGCGTCGACGACTTGCCCTACGTCGATGGCATGGACCTGGGATTCTCCTGGCTCTGGAAGGTGGCAACATCCCCACTGCTGGTTATGTTGCTTTTCGAGGCAACATCACAAAGGTTGCAATGGAGCACATGCGACATGCTAGTGCCCTGGAACGCCTGACTGCTGGAGATTGGGAAGAAGTTCTGAACCAGGTGATTGAGGCCAATGAAGATGTGGCTCAACCACCAGCTCTTCAGGATGGAGCACCTCTGGAGGCAGTGCCTGAGTTGGATGAGGAAGAACGTGGAGATGATGGACAACCCCGTTCTGATCAAGGTCAACAACCAGCTCGACAACGAGCACTACCTGCACGTGGAGTCATCATGGAGCATCCCGTGGTGTTTCCATATCCGTTCTCAAGGGAGATGATGCCTACTCCTTTGGCTCTGGATGGTGCCCCTGGATCTACCGTTATGACCAACTTGGACTCTCGGAGAACATCAATGGCTTCCACACCTATGACAATGCATGGTGCCCCTTGCTCAACTTTCTCACGAGCTCAACCGGATGCTGCGAGAAAGGATGAAGCTGCTGGACCTGCGAGAAATGTGAGTCCCACTGGACTTTCGGGACAAACCCTTGGACTTTCGGGCGATGCAGCAGCTGAGCCTGGACAGCCTCTAGGTTCTCAAGAGCTACAACCAGAACAGACCTCTCAACTTCCGCAACAAGTACCTGGAGTACCTTCACTGGAAGAGCCTCCTCCAAGGAGATTGGATCGAGCTGGAGCTGCAGTTCGTCGTGCTCTTTCTGAAGGAGCTCAAGATGATCGCCCTGGAACAAGAAGGAGGATCTTGGAACCTCTGATCTTGGGTGACCGCACAATTGATGTGCTGGCTTCAGAACTCTGCCGAGTTCATCCCCTGGTTAAAGCCGTGGATTGGTCGCAACAAGACATCGCTGATGGAAATCTCATCGAGCCCGACCATGGCAGCTGGGATGGAAGATGGACTAGACCGAGCAGATGGGAATTTGAAGCTATGGAAGCTACTGGTTCATGCTGGCCCAGTGGAAATGGAGAACACGAGGCCCTGACCACTGCCGCTCAAGGAAAAGAACTTCGCTGGAGCGAGATGGATGAGGGCACCCGTGACAAATTTAGAGCTTCCGCTGTGGATCAGTGGAACAAGTTCGTGGAGAACAAAGCTGTGAAAGTGCTGACCCTGGAGGAGTCAAAAGCTGTGATGCAAGAGCTCAAGATGAAGGGAGAAGAGCAACGCGTGCTGACGCCTCGCTTCGTCATGGTGGACAAGAACGCTCCGCTCAGAACGAAGGACAAGCCGCTGCCTCTTCGAGCCAACTCTCGGCTCATTGTCCCTGGATTCAAAGACATTGAGAATCTGCAGGGTGGCCTTCGAAAAGATGCTCCGACTGCCTCAAGGATCAGTCAACACTTGGTGGCATGCATGGCTGCACAGCACCCAAACTGGTGTTTGCAGAGCGCTGACGTTCGTGCTGCTTTCCTGAAAGGAGATCCCTACGTGGAGCGGGAGATCTACATGGGACCGGCAGATCCACGCCGTGGTCCTACAATTCCCATTGGCCCTGGATGTGTGGCCAAGGTGTTGAAGGGTATCTTTGGCTTGGCCGATGCTCCAAGAGCTTGGTATCTGCGCTTGGCCAGAGAGCTCAGCGAGGATGGATGGTGCAGAAGCTCCTTGGACCTTGCTCTATGGGTTCGACATCAAGATGGTGAATTGGTTGGAATCCTTGCTGCTCACGTGGATGATTTGCTGATGTCAGGAAACTTGGAATCAGAACGATCACTGCTCCGCTTGGGTGAGCGCATTGGTTTTGGCTCAATCGAGAAGGACCAGTTCGTTTGGTGTGGCAAGCAGTTCACCAAGAGCAAGGAGACTGGGGAGGTGACCATAGATATGATCACCTACCATAAGAACTTGAAACAAGTTGCTGTGAGCAGAGATCGCCGACAAGATCCCTCAAGCCCTTTGAATGCGCAGGAGCACAGACAGCTTCGCGGTGCATTGGGATCACTGCAGTGGTTGGCAGGCCAATGCCGTTTTGACTTGGCATTTGATGTGTCTGCACTTCAAGGAGAAGTACCAGCTACGGTAGGCACATTGCTCCGTGCCAACAAGGTGATCAAAGAGGCTCAGGCGACACAGGAGTTCAAGCTCCGCTTTCATCCAATCGACTTCGTGAAAGGTGGTGTGATGTCTATTACGGACGCAGCCTTGGGAAATGTAGATTCCAGAGGATCTACTGAGGTGGACAAGCTGGAGAAGGTTCACAGTCAGAGCTGCTACGCCATTGTCCTTGCGGATGAAGTGATGATGAGCGGTGGTACCGGCTTTTTCAATCTTTTGGATTTCAGAAGCCACAGGTTGCAGAGGGTATGCAGATCCTCCTATGCAGCTGAAACCTTGGGAGCCGAGGAAGGCTTGGACGCTGGTGAGCTTTGCAGAGGATTCATTGCCGAGCTGAGAGGCCAGGTGATGACCGACAAGCAGGCGTTTTTCAAGGTTTGTTTGGTGCCTTTGATGGGAGTTACCGATGCCAAGGACTGCTATGATCGAGTCAGTCAAGACTTGGGCTTCGGAACGCAAAAGTCCCTTGCGTTCACCATTGCCGCCATCAGACAGCAATTGAGACGCCCCCAGACGTCTTACCGCTGGACATCGACACAGAATATGTGGGTCGATGGTGGAACCAAGCACATGGACAAGACCAACCTTCGAAAGACGTTGGAGCGTGGCACATGGTCCGTGACATACACTGAGGAATTCACAAAGCAGACCAGCCGGAAAGCAAAGAAAGCTGACACAACTGCTGCTGATCTACCTGGACGAGACCCCGAGGTGAAGGATGAGAAGCTGATGCAGTATGTGTACCAGCTGGCCGAGATGGTTGGATGGCACTACATCGACGGGACTGGGATACACAGCTGTTGATCACCCCAAGGGCTTCTAGGATTCTAGATATATGTTTCTTGTGGTTTCTCTGTGACAGTCAGATTTTGATAAATTTGGCGACTTCCCAGGCATGGCACTGAGGATGTTGGAGCAGCCGGGAGGCGGAGGAGCCGCGCAGCTCGCAGATCTGCCATTATGTCAGTTGACTTTGCACGGAGGGATGGTAAGATGCTAAGGTAAGAAGGAAGCAACCGGATGACGGAGATATGTGACACTTTACATAGACTTCACATCGATTTTCCTGCAGCCATTTGGGCTTGTTTTCCTGTTTCACTTCCACGACATTCCATGACCATTTCGAGTTCAAGTTCTGAGGCGAGCTCCGAAACTTCGGAGACTGGAAAGTCTTCAGGAGATCCATCGGTCCGAAAACCTTGGTTCCGATGGCTGCCCCGATCGTACCTGCTGGTCTTGGTGGTCAATGCCACTGCGACCCTTCTGCTGTGGCCTGCTGATGTTGAGTTTCCTGATGGCTGGTACTCAGATGATCCTCCTGTCTGTCCACTTAAGATGCGACTCTTCTTCTTTGGGCTGATGCTGTCGAGTTTCGGAGCCGGCTGTGTAGTAGCCTTTCTGGTGAGAAGGGCAGAAGCTTCAGGTCATACAAAGTGGGCCTGTGGCTATGCCATAATCAACTGGGTTCAAGCCATGTTGGGCTCACTGGGGATGACCCATCCAACTGTCAGGGGGTACTGCAGGTATGGAGTGATACCATACTTCGGAGGTGACATTTGGTACTATTCACTTGCCATGTGCCGATTGCTGCTGTATCTCGTTGCCTCTTTCTGGATGCAGACACTCATCGCTTCACGGCTGGATCTCTTGGAGCAATCTTCGAATCGGAACTACCGCAGTAGCTGCTTTCGCAAACTGATGTGGGCGCAAGTCTTTGGGGCAGCAGGGGTTTTGCTTCCCATTGCAGGCATAGTTTATGAGATCACGGGTGATGACTACAGCACAAGGATCATTCTCCAAATAACAAGTTGGATGAGCCTGCTGGCGATAGGAGGCATCACATTGCTGTGCAATGCGGCAGCGAGCATAGTGGCCATTTGCTCTTTCCGAAAGTCTTATTCGGAGCTGCGGAGGATTTGTCGCCTGGCAGAAACGAATGAGGCGCCTATCTCCGCAAGATCTTCCTTGAGACGAGCCCGAAGGTTTGCTGGTCTGCAAGGGTTGGGTGTATCATTTAGCCTCGTGCTCACGCTTCTGCTTGGTCCAGCACGTGTTGTTTCTATGTTTGTGGTTTATGGCTATGACGGCTATGACGCTTTGAAGGTGGTCTTGTTTCTTATTCAAGCTTTTGATGCCCTGGGAAATGCTGTGGCCGTTCTCCTTCTGTCCGGCAGTCACAGGATGGCCAAAGTTGAAAGGAGTCAGGGGAGCCAACGTAGCTGGAAAGTCGAAAAGCCTGAGCATAGCAGGAACAAACAGACTTCGCATGAAGATGTGAACTGGACTAGAAAGGTGGAAGAACTTTCAATGCGGGGGATGACTTTGAGGAGCCTCTTGCAGTTCTATCAAGAAAACCTACCTTCGATGCCAGATTGGAAATATGTGCCCAGGGAACACAAGACCAGAGATGTGGTCCGAAGAGCAATCATCCCATTGACTAGCAGAGAAGAATGTGCATTCTCAGTTTCAGCTTTCAACAAGGATGGTCCGAAACGGGCACAGGTCATGGTGACCCACAATTGGGGCAACTCGTTCAGCGACCTTCTGGCTGCAGTGCTGTCGGATGCCCTGCAGGAATGCAGTTTCAGCTTGCCAGCAGAACTTCTGCAGGAGGAGTGCACTTTCCTGCAGGACCTTCTGGCGAAAATGGGGAGGTTGGATGAGACGTATTGGATCTGTGCGTTTGCTGTCAACCAGCACATCAGCATCTGCCACAGCAACCCGTATGACCGGGATCCTTTCACAAATCAGCTGCACCCAGTGTGCCACTGCAACAGCACAAACATCATTGACTCGGATGGCCGAAGTGCTTCGTCAGAGATCAACAAGTTTGATGACATGATGCGTCTTCTTGCCACGACTGGGGGATGCAGCCAAGTGATTGATACTTCTGGTCAAGCCACCAAAAGGCAAACTGAAACCAAAGGTGCCTCTCCTGAAAAAAAGAGGGCCAAAGCTGTTTGTACGAATTTTGACACACCATTTGGATTCCAACGAGTTGACTGTGGAGGCAATGGTGATTGTGGTTACCGAGCCGCGGCGGCAGCTTATGCTCTTGCAGACGGCCGCGACCTCAAAGAGACCAAAGAAAATGCTCCAACCCTCGGGGCTACATTACGGGCTCAGGTAGCAAGCCATCTAAAAAAGCATCAGCTTTGGAAAGACTCATGGGCACCTGATGATAGATGGACAGAATCAACTGAAGGCGGCACAGTGCCTACCACCTACGATGAGTGGTTGGAAAGCACGGCTCGTCCAGGCCGGTGGGTTTGTGGCCCCACTCTCATCGGCATTGCCACCAGGCTTAAACGCAATCTTGTTGTTTTTCGTTTTGCGGATGACAAATGGGAAAAAGCCGACTTGATCACTCCACTCGAATCCAATGCCAAGGATGTTAGCACTGCTGCTTCCTTTCCACCTCTTCCTTTATTTCTGAAAGACAACCATTATTTCACATTGGAACCACGAGAAGAGGGCTGGCCTGCTACCTGGAGCTCGCCTGCAGATAAGAAATGGGATCCCAACCTGCATCGCGGTGGTGGCAAAAGCCTCCGTAGCTGGCTTCCGTCCAGTTCTGCCAGTGTTGCCAGCACGCAGTCCGCCAGTAGGACCGTGACTCAAAGCCAGCGTAAACAGAAAAGTCTCAAAAGTTGGCTCCCGGCTTCCAGCTCTGCCAAAAGCAGATCGCCAGCCATTGGGATAAATTTAAAAAGTTGGTTGCCGCAGTCAAGCTGCTCCACTTTGGCCAAAAGTTGCTTTCCTGCCACAAGAGAAGCATCACCTGCTCCGTCTCTTGCATTTTCGGATGATGCATCTTTGCGCAAAGAAGATATTTCCAATAAAAACGTTGACTGTCACGACACTGACGCTGCCAAAGTTGCTTCCTCCTGGACCTGCCCTGAGTGTGGCTATTGCACAGAAAACCGGGTAGACTGGGTCAAACGCCGTCGGCAGCATATTGTTACTTGGCATCCTGACAAAAAGGATGACTGGAATCTCAGAAACAAGCCCTTATTAGTGCCGTGGACGCCCGATTGCACCTGGAAATGTCCGCTATGCAACATGGGCATGCCGCCCAACATCACTGATTGCGACACTTCCTATCGACTTCGAAAGGAACATGCTCAACAGCAACACCCAACTGCCAAGAGAAGCCGTTTTTTTCTTCCGACTCCCAACAATTCTGCCAAAGCTACGTTGGCCAAGATCAGTGCTGGCGTAGCCCAAAGGCTACTGGATTTGAAAGCAGGCAAGCAGGGTGACCATGATGTCATTTTCTTGAAGTTTCCTCCTTTCAAGGAAAAAGTCAAACGATTAACTGTGATCCATCCATTTTGCAAGAAGTGCTCCGCCACAGCGGTGTCCATTGCGCAAATTGCCAAAATCCCATGCAACGTTAGCCGACGCGGCGGCCCCGGTCGGCAGCTGTTGATTCGCCGTGTTCGTGCTGCTGTGAATGACGTCACTTTACCTGATGCTTTGAAAAAAGACCTGCAACATACTTTGTCGTGGATCGACGCTCCGTCCGGTCCTGCAGTTGACCACCAAATTGACAAATTCCCTTGGCCTTTGCCTTCGCCAGCGTCGTTGTACATTTGCAAAGTTTGCCGACAAGTCAACATTCGACGAGCTTCCATGACCAACACTAAATGTTGTGGCGAGCCTAAGCAAAGTCCGCGCCATGTGCAATTGCTGCGACAGCTGGACACAGCACATAAGACTGCCCGAGGACATCGACGTGACCAGATAGTGATTGCCCAGAACATCCTTTTGGGTAAAGCCAATGTGCCCACCAAACAGAATAATAATGACTGAATTTTTTCTTTCGGATACCTTACGCATTGCCAGCCTCAATGTGAGGGCTTTGCCTCACAAATTGGGTGCAGTTTTGGAAACCGCTCATACTCACAATGTTCATATTTTGTGTTTGCAAGAAACCCGTGTTTCCGTTGACAGTTATGCTGGTATCCGCTATACTGCCAAAAAGGCAGGATGGGATACCTTTTTCGGAACTCAAATTTCTCATGATGCCACCCAGCCTTATGCTGGTACTGTGATTTTTAGCCGTTGGCCCACCGAACAAGTTCAGGTCCCTCAGGACCCACTTTTTCTCGGCAGACTCATGGCTGTTAAAATTCACAAGCCACGTGCCAGGCCTGTTCTCCTGCTAAACTGTTACCTCCCTGCCTCTAATGCTGCCAAAGCTGCGGACACTGCTGCCGCTGCATTTGAGTGGGCTGCATCCATTGGTGAGCAGTGGGGCATGATTGGCGATTTCAATTTGACCAAGGAACATTGGCCTATGGGAGCAGCTCTGGCCACTGGGCTCTTGTTCGATATGGATGATGTAGCGGGGCCCCATGCTTTGCAAGGTACCCATCGAAACCATGCCGGTGAACTCACTGGCCGTGTCATTGATTTCATGCTTGCGACCAACGAGTTTTTTCCTGTTTCTCGTGTTCAACATCAAAGTGTGGCTGACCATGATGTGATTTTATACGACTTTCCTTGGAAAGACGATGTCACTCAATTTTCCTGGCCTGCCCGTCCAAGCCTCCGCCTTGAAAAGGTCAGTTCTGAGCAGTGGGCTAATGTGTGGAATGCATTCAGCTCATCGTTTGACACAGCTCTCGAAGCTAGAGACTCAGATGCTGCATGGCAAGCACTGAGCTCGGCAGCCGAAACTGCTTTGGCGGGAACCCCCGAGGCACCTAATGCCAGACATAACCAACTTTTGCCTACTGTTAAAAAAGTGATAACTTCCACCAAGGCGCCAAATTTGCAATCGCTTCTGGAGCGACAACTTCGGCGCTTGGCGCGGAAGGCCCAGCAGAGCCTGCTCCAGCCAAACGATGTGAAACTCAAAAGAAACTTTTTCTTTTTCATTGATTTTCTTAGTGACCAAGTTCCGCTTTTAACGCAGTGCCAGTGGAATTCCGAAGCCACTGTGCGGTTTCTTTTTGACCTGGCTGACCAAGAGGCCAAAGCGGCCGCGCGTCAGCGCATCCACGACTGGAAAGACCAAATCAGTGACGATGTGCCACGCCTTGCTAGGTGGATCAAAGCCCGATCCGAACTGGATGACAGTGGGAGTTGGTGTTCTGACAGTCCACACCCTCAACTTCAAGCGGAAAAGTGTGCCAGGTCTTGGTTTAATTTGTGGAATCCGGAGACTTTGCCTGTGGATCAAGCGCTTGATCAATTCTTGGAATTTACTCCTGCTTGCCCGAATCCCTGGCCTTTGCCGTCCCTTCAGGGACACCAACTGCAACATTTGTGCCATCAAGCCATCAAAAAGGCCCCGGGTCTAGATTGCTGGCTTGCTAAGTCATGGGACTGTTTGCCACTTGATTTTTTCGATAAACTCGCCAATCTTTGGAACTCGTGCCTTCAAGGTGCCACTCTCCCACAACAATGGAAGCATGTCCGCATCGCTCTCATTCCTAAAAATGATGGCGGCATGCGCCCTTTGGCTATAGCTGTCATGGCTTGGAGACTTGGCATGGCAGCTGTCATGCGGGAACTTAGACAATGGACTCTTTCCTGGCTCTCTCCAGAACTTTGTGGGGGTGTAGCAGAGAAAAGTATCCATGATGTTCATGCTCATCTGTTCAGCGATTTGCAAACGTGCCGTGGCAGGGCTGCACACTTCGCAGGATGTAAAGCTGATGTGAGAAAATGTTTTGACTCCGTACAAGTTAGTACTGCCATTCGCGTTTGGAAACACTTGGGGGCTCCACCTGGTGTCCTCTCCGTCCTTAATGATTTTTATCAAAATCAGTCTCGTTGGTTTTCCATCCGAAATTGTGTTGCTCCAACTCCTGTCACAGCTCGCAGAAGTGTTTTGCAAGGCTGTCCTGCAAGCCCCGCATTGCTTAATGGCCTCATGACAGTTTGGGTCAATGCCATAAAAGTGCGAGTCCCTTCAGTTCGACTTGCAGTTTATTTAGATGATAGAACAATTTGGGCAACCGATCGCATGGCTGCTGCAAACGTGCATGAAGCCATGTTGTGTGCCCAGAGTCTTGACGAAGCGCTAGGCTTTGCGCTCCACCCAGACAAGCTTGAAAGTTTTGCCCTGAAAGCCGGGGACCGCCAATATCTTAATGATCGTGCCCTCACAGTTGGGCCTGCCAAAGTTTCATTCAAACTTCTAGGAATTCAATATTTCGTTGGTTCTCATTTCAAATGCCACAAAGATCACAAGTTGCATAAGACCCTCGTTTCCAGGTGCAGAAAGATCCGTATGGTCACACGCAACTTGAACATGCGTCGTCAGCTTGTCCACATTCTTGTTGTGGCCATGCTCAGGTGGATGGGTCCTTGGCAAAGATTTCACAAAGGTACGCTTAAGGGTTGGGCCAGGGCCATCGAAACTGCCATTTGGGGGTATGGCACACCTCCTGGTCGCTCCGGTTATTTGTTCTGGACCGCCATCGCTGGACTTCGCTGTCATCTTGAATGTGCTCTCTCCACTGAAGCCATCATGTATGAATGGAGACGCCAGGTGAATCTTTTTCTTGGGAAATGTACAGTGACGCGCGCCTCGCCGCGAGCGATTGACACTTTCAATTTACTCAATTGGAAAAATTTGCAGAATGATGTTTGGCAAACTCCTTTTGGCCAAATTCGTGTTGGTTGGATTTCAGACTCTGATTTGGCCAAGCTTGTGCGACTTTCCTGGACCAGAGTCCTCTTCCAGTCTGACACTAAAACACAGGAACACTTGCCAGACCACCTCAATCCATACTTTGGTTTTCATAATGCTATGATCAAAGAATGTGGTGAGCGATATAAAATGACTGTTCTCATGGCCGCCGCCTCTGATGGACGCATTTTGGAAAGAATGGGTGCGCCTGAAGTGTGCGCTTGTGGCATCAATTCTCCCGACCGCGAGCATCTCACCTTTCACTGCAATGCTGATACCGCTGAGAAGCCTGCACTTAAGACTCACAATGAAACTCGGCTGTTGCAGCCGTTAGTCCCTTTGCCAAACACTCCAATCATTTCCGCATTAACTGCTAATGTTGAGTTGGTTCAGTGCTTACGACAGTTGTACGCTGTCGACCATTCTCCTGTCGTCTTGGCCTTGGATGGCAGCTGTTTGGTCAACCCTGGCAATGATTTATACCAATGGGCATCCTGGGGGATTGTCACCTCCACGAAGCTTTCATTCAACGGACTTTTGACTGGCTGTGTTCACACCCCGGCTGCTGCCGAGCGTGAAGCTCTGGTGCAAGCCATGCTGGCTGCACATTCTGCAGCTGTGCCCGTGCGTTTGCTCATCGACAATGAGGCAATTGTCAAGCGCCTCCTCCGAGGATTGCGTTTTGGCAACTGGAACGGCGATGCTGCCGGTTTCTGGTCCTATATCGCCATGCTTGCCACTCATGGTGTGGAAGTGATGTGGGCACCTTCCCATGACAAAAAGCCCTTGTGGACACCTGTGCTTGACTGGAACCTTTCCGCTCAAGAGTGCAGAACGTTGAACGAGTTGGCTGACCTTGCGGCCGCTCAAATAACCGACGCCAAGCGAGATGATTTTGTTTTTTGCAAGAACATTCTCACTGATGCTCACCTGTGGGCTGCCTCTGTCTTTCTTAGACAGTGGAAGACTACTCGACCTTTTCATAATTCTGTCATTGCACTGCAGAAAGCGAAGCATCGATTTCCAGTGCCATCCTGAAGCTTGACTTCTGACTGCCTGAGCTTTTCGGCTCCCCTGTGTTTTCACTTATTTATTTGCTAGAGCCTCTGTGGCTCTCATGGCTACTTAACCACAGCTTCGGCTGGCAGGTTGTATGTCTCAATTCATTCATTCATTCACTGGATTTGTTTCGCCGTGCCTGGTGTGTGGCTGAAATTGCGGAAGCCAAACGTTTGCAGATGGACCAGTCATTGAAACTCTGGTCCAAAGCAACGCTGCAGGGACGCGCCCGGACATTGGAAAACTTGGATGTGCGGGACATGCGTGCCTCCTCGGAAAAGGACAAGGAACTCATCCTTGGCAAGATTCAGGATGTAGATGATTTCAATGCCAAGCTTCAGGTGCTCATTTTTGATCCAAAATCAGGCCTTGTTGCCACATGGAATGCCATGGATAGCCTGCAGCAGATTGGTGAAGTGGGCCGGCTCATTCGATGGGGCCTGGCAGATGCAGGCAGTGGAAAAGTGTGGAAAGCATGGGAAAGCCACAACTGAATCCACTTTTTAAGCACAGCCCAGAAGAGGCATGTGCCAGTATCACTTTTGCAACCTGCCACCCGAAAGAGGCAGCAAATTCAGATTGGATAAAATAGATGCATGACCAGCAATAGTTTCGTGATTTTTGCATATTTTTGCAAAGTGTTGCAGAATCTGACAATCCAAACATATCCAAACAACCAATTGAAGCACGTGCTTGAACTGAAATCCAACCAGCATCCATTAGATTATTATCATTTTTCCTATGAAAGATGGCTATAGTTGGCTGAATCCACTAAGCACAGCCCATAAGAGGCATGTGCCAATCTCACTTTTGCAACCTGCCGCCCGAAGGGGCAGCAAAATTTACATTGGATAAAATAGATGCAGGACCAGCAAGAGTTTCTTGATTCACCGGCACAAAGTGTTTGCAGACATTCTTTATGCAAACAAACAATTGGAGCACTTGGTTGAAAAAAATTGCGGGTTCAAACTTTCCAGGAGTCTCTGCGTTTGGTCGTTGAGCGGACGGAAGACATAGAACGCCTATTCGGGCAGAAGGGTCGAGGTGGGGTGGCAGCCTTGTGATGTTTCGCCTATTGATCTTCTATTTTTTTGGTGGGATTGAGTTTCAGAGCTCTGAAAATGGACAATTTAAGATAATTTAAGTGGATAGGGCAAGTGTCCAATTTCAAACGAAGAATTCAAAGCCTGCAGCTTTGCAGGGAAAGAGAGAAGCACTTCCACTTCAGACCGATTTATGGAACTCTCAGGTTGAAGTTTTTTTTTTCTCTGCCTGCCTTCAGACAGCGACAGATGGGCCCTGCAGCGCAGGAGCAGTCTCAACGACCAGCTCAGTTGCTGGCGCTGAAATATCCAGGATGGGTCCTTTCTTAAGGACCTGGATGGTTTAGTACGTGCCAACATTATCTTGGATGATGGCCGTGTCACATGCTGAAGACTTGAATGGATCCAGCTGCATGGTTGGCAAAGGGATGATGCGATGCTCTTGGGATGTGGTGATTACTAGTGATTACCATGAACATCATGTGAATTACTATGGATTGGATTGGTACGTTGGGAGGTGAGGAAGCCGAAAGATCCTCAAAGTGTCTAGTGACTGAATAGGATGCGAATCAGGATGGCAGGATGGCGGGCACAATGTGACATGAAACGTGGCAGTTCGCGGTGGCTTTTTCTCTAAGGCGTCAGTCACAGCGCGACAGTGCCCATTTTGTGGCCATCAGGATTTTTGGAATCTGAAACATCAATGTCTGTCTGAAACATCGGAATGATCCTAAATGGTCTAGTTCACCTTGTATCGTCACTAGAAATCGTAGAAATCGACATGCAGCTGTGGTCTTATTGCTTGACTCTTCCACACCATTCCAACCGCCCTGGCAGGAGCTGGTAGAGATGGCCATTCAGAAGATGACTGCTTGGCAAAGTTACAGGCGGGTGCACCAGTTGAGCCCAGAGCCACGAACGTAACTGGTTGGTGAAATGTTGGTGAAATACCGAGGAAAAAAACCCTATAATTTCATTGGTTTTTCAATTTGAGAAATGCTGAAATATGCTGAAATCATCGTGAAAGTGGCAAAAAACGGATCCAATCTTTGAACACGCTCTACACGGGGCCGGCAGACGGATTTTCTATGGTCAATCGTTTGAATTGTGCCGCGGGTGCACAGAGCAATGCTCGGGCTTACGTTACGTTGCCACCCATGGCCAAATCTCATGACATTACGTAGGAACCTCCATGGGGGAGACTTCCCCAGATCATCATTGCCAGACTTATTATCCATAAGACCCCTATGCCTGCGCAGTTCCACCAAAATTCCTGGCCTATATATACACCCAATTCAATGGATTATTTATGATGACATGAGGATTCGTATCCAAACCCATCCCCCAACCAAGGCTATCCAATATTATTCTACGAGGTATATGCAGGGTTTTGATCTACACACATAGAGCACCACCGGGTCTGTCTCCCCGATAGGAGTCACAGGAGGTGAACGAGCACGAAATCTTAGGACACTCGCCCCAGTAGAGGATAAACCTGGTAGTTTGATGGCCGCCCTTTCCCCCTATGAAATACCACCCACAACCCCTGGCGAGTTGCATTGGATCTATTCACTTTGGGTATCATATGGGGGGCATTTAATATTAGGGGGATGGAATTTCTTGAATTTCCTGCGGTAAATGGGGGGGATTGCAAAACCAGCCGTGAGAAGCGGGGGAGCACTGCCTGTTTTCGCCACCGAAAATGACCCCAGGTGCCAGCTATTGCCATAGGGGGTTTGACTCATGGCCAGAGATGTTTGGTAGGGCGGAAACCCATTGGTCGTAGGCTGTGTTGCTTTTTGTGGATAGGGTTGTTGTGTGCCTTCACGATCCAAGCAAGGTATGGTGATCTGTGGTGTTTGGAGTCTGGGGATCAAGGAATGCAATGATGTTTTGATACCTTGAGTTAAATGGTAGACCACTTCAACTTCTGGACCCCAAAGTGATGGTCATTGATAGTCGAGCCACATGTCTCAAGGTACGTGGACGAAGTGACAGGCGTGGAAAGCTGCCAGCATGGCCGTCAGATGCTACAGCCTACAGCTATGATTCGACAGATTCGACATATTTTGACATCATTTGTGCCGCAGGAATGTCACATTGGCCCATTGGCCTTTTTTTTTTGTTTTCGGGTACTATCGGCCACCCCAAAACAAGGTAGGATGTTTGCTGAAAGATGACCAGGAAATCTGCAGCTCCCGTGGTTTTTTTCCGCATGACTTCTGTGTGCATGGCCTGAGCGTTGAGCCAAACTGCCGCGTAAATTCCTTGGGAAACAGTTGTGATGGTGGATATTCATGGTGGAATTTGGTAGGATTCCCACCGAAACCAGTTACTTAGTTATTTTTGCGGCCGCCAGCGGCATATTGCAGGAATTGGCAGACACAAATTGGAGGCCCGGTGATGCTGGAGAATCAAGCAGACGATATGGGTTTGTCTGAGAGGGCACCCCAAAATCCAATGGATAATCATCACTAATCACATTTTTTCTCATTTTGCATCTTGGAGATATACCCCTACCCCCTCAGACAAAGCCCAGAATACGTTTCGCTTGGGCCAAGCGCTTCTTCCGTCACCCAGTGCAGAGGCTTCGTTTTCCAGCAGCTGTGATCCCACAGAATCATGCCGGGTAAAAAGCGTCTGGCAATCTGGCAATGGAAAACCATTCCTATTTATATCAATAATACAGCATATATAAATAAATAAGTCTATATATATATATATCTAAATCAATATTTTATATCATTTTATATGCCTATCTACAGAATCTTTCCGATTCTTCTGGATTACCAGAGGCTGCGTCCCGTTGACGCTGATCAAGCCCCAAGAGAGGCCCACCAGCTCTCTGTCGAGCGACTGGAGCACCTGGAAGGGTCAGGGCGCCCCAGCGGTTGAGCCCATGATTCACCAGCTAAGCATGGGTTGGGTCAACATCCAGGCCACAGTTTTGAGGCCATCGTTTCATATCATTTCCTCATCACAGATACAGATTTGTAATATATATATATATATATTATAATGTGTAATATCTGCTCATACGCTGGGCTACAGTGGCTACAGAATGATGTTCCATATTTATCAGCCCTCCAGCTTTGTTGCTCACAGCATGTTAGGCCTCTTGTTGCCTCTAGTTGCTCATGAATTATTTCACTTCTCGTGACTTCTCGTGGGTAAACTATTGTAAACTTCTCTTTTGTTGCACCTGGCTACTGTTGATCAATTGCCAGTGAGCACGAAAAACCTTACCCCAAAAAACTCGGTTTCACACAGCTGTTGATCACCCCAAGGGCTTCTAGGACTATCTTTCTGGTGACATTCAGATCCTGGCGACTTCCCAGACATGGCACTGAGGATGTTGGAGCAACCGGGAGGCGGAGGAGCCCATGCCCACGGCGTCAGTTGATCCCAGCCGTGATGTCAGTTGACTTTGCAGGGATGGGAAGATGCTAAGGTTGACATGACGGAGATATGAGACTCTTGATATGAACTTCACATCGATCCTTTTCCTGCAGCCATTTGGGCTGGTTTTCCTGTTTCACTTCCACGACATTCCATGACCATGTCGAGTTCAAGTTCTGAGGCGAGCTCCGAAACTTCGGAGACTGGACAGTCTTCAGATCCATCGGGCCGAAAACCTTGGTGCCGATGGTTGCCCCGATCGTACCTGCTGGTCTTGGTGATCAATGCCACTGCGACCCTTCTGCTGTGGCCTGCTGATGTTGAGTTTCCTGATCCCCGGTACAATCCTCAGTGGTGGGACGATGATCCTCCTGTCTGTCCACTTAAGATGCGACTCTTCTTCTTTGGGCTGATGCTGTCGAGTTTGGGAGCCGGCTGTGTAGCAGCCTTTCTGGTGAGAAGGGCTGAAGCTTCAGGTCATACAAAGTGGGCCTGTGGCTATGCCATAATCAACTGGATTCAGGCCATGTTGGGCTCACTGGGGATGACCAATCCAGACCGTGGGTACTGCAGGTATGGAGTGATACCAGATAGAGACTCCGGAGGCACATTTTGGTATTTGGCACTTGCATTGTGTCGATTGCTGCTGTATCTCGTTGCTTCCTTCTGGATGCAGACACTCATCGCTTCACGGCTGGATCTCTTGGAGCAATCTTCGAATCGGAACTACTGCAGTAGCTGCTTTCGCAGACTGATGTGGGCCCAAGTCTTTGGGACAGCGGTGGCTCTGCTTCCCATTGCGGGCATGGTTCATGAGATCATTACGGGTGATATCTACGGCGAAAGTAACATTTTCGTTACAAGTGCCTGGAGTCTGTTCACAATAGGAGGCATCACATTGCTGTGCAATTGGGCAGCGAGCATCGTGGCCATTTGCTCTTTCCAAAAGTCTTATTTGGAGCTGCGGAGGATTTGTCGCCTGGCAGAAGCGAACGAGGCCTCCATCTCCGCAAGATCTTCCTTGAGACGAGCCCGAAGGTTTGCTGGTTTGCAAGGGTTGGGTGTATCATTTGGCCTCGTGTTTACGGTTCTGCTCGTTCCAGCACGTCTTGTTTCTCTTGTTGTTGCAAGCGCTGACAGCTATGACGACTCTTTGAAGGTGGTCTTGTTTCTTATTCAAGCTCTTGATGCCCTCGGAAATGCTGTGGCCGTTCTCCTTCTGTCCGGCAGTCACAGGATGGCCAAAGTTGAAAGGAGTCAGGGGAGCCAATGTGGCTGCTGGAAAGTCGAAAAGCCTGAGCATAGCAGAAACAAACAGACTTCACATGAAGATGTGAACTGGACCAGAAAGGTGGAAGAACTTTCAATGCGGGGAATGACTTTGCGGAGCCTCTTGCAGTTCTATCCAGAAAACCTCCCTTCAATGCAAGATTGGAAATATGTGCCCAAGGAACACAAGACCAGAGATGTGGTCCGAAGAGCAATCATCCCATTGACTAGTAGAGAAGAATGTGCGTTCTCAGTTTCAGCTTTCAACAAGGATGGTCCGAAACGGGCACAGGTCATGGTGACCCACAATTGGGGCAACTCGTTCAGCGACCTGCTGGCTGCAGTGCTGTCGGATGCCCTGCAGGAATGCAGTTTCAGCTTGCCAGCAGAACTTCTGCAGGAGGATTGCGCTTTGCTGCAGGACCTTCTGGCGAAAATGGGGCGGTTGGATGAGACGTACTGGATCTGTGCGTTTGCTGTCAACCAGCACATCAGCATCTGCCACAGCAACCCGTATGACCGGGATCCTTTCACAAATCAGCTGCACCCAGTGTGCCACTGCAACAGCACAAACATCATTGACTCGGATGGCCGAAGTGCTTCGTCAGAGATCAACAAGTTTGATGACATGATGCGTCTTCTTGCCACGACTGGGGGATGCCGACAAGTGATTGCAGTGGACAAATCCCTGGATTTGTTTCCCCCTCGGGGGGGGGGCGCGGCGGTTTCACCGGCGCGCGGGAATTAACCTGATTATAAATACCTCCCGACCTGACTACAGCATTTGTTCTGGTGCACATGGCGCTTTTCCTAGCCGAGTTCTTTGGCCATACAAGCTGGGGTTCAATTCCTCTGGAGACATGGTGCGGCTTGGGGTTCGTTTCCCCTGGAGACACGGTGCGGCTTGGGGTTCGATTCCCCTTTAGCATGGTGCGGCTTGGGGTTCAATTCCCTTGGAGACATGGTGCAGCTCGGGGTTCGATTCCCCTGGAAACATGGTGTGGCTTGGAGGCTTGAACTTTGGTGCGGTTGGTGCCAGCTGCCGAGGACTTTGCTGTGTCATGCATGCCGGGCTTGCGCCCGCATTCATGCCAATTCGTTTCTTGTAGAGATGCAATTTTTGCTGGCCCTTTTGTCTTGGGGTCTCATGACTGGTTTTCTTTTGCAGATTTTGAAAGCCCAGATCGTGGGGGTCTTGGGCCCCTCCATATGTCAGCCTTGCTATCGATGTCCTTCGCTCTGGCTTGGCCGTAATTCACTGCTACTTGGCCGGTTGGTGGCTCATTCTCCCGCTGCTCTTTCGCGCGGCGCCATGCCCGAGATGTTCATCGCACACCTGCGATCTTTAGGATCGCTTGCACGCGCGCGTGTCGCTCTTATGGCTGCTTAACCACAGCTTCGGCTGGCAGGTTGTATGTCTCTTTTCATTCATTCATTCATTCACTGGATTTGTGCGACTTTCCTGGACCAGAGTCCTCTTCCAGTCTGACACTAAAACACAGGAACACTTGCCAGACCACCTCAATCCATACTTTGGTTTTCATAATGCTATGATCAAAGAATGTGGTGAGCGATATAAAATGACTGTTCTCATGGCCGCCGCCTCTGATGGACGCATTTTGGAAAGAATGGGTGCGCCTGAAGTGTGCGCTTGTGGCATCAATTCTCCCGACCGCGAGCATCTCACCTTTCACTGCAATGCTGATACCGCTGAGAAGCCTGTACTTAAGACTCACAATGAAACTCGGCTGTTGCAGCCGTTAGTCCCTTTGCCAAACACTCCAATCATTTCCGCATTAACTGCTAATGTTGAGTTGGTTCAGTGCTTACGACAGTTGTACGCTGTCGACCATTCTCCTGTCGTCTTGGCCTTGGATGGCAGCTGTTTGGTCAACCCTGGCAATGATTTATACCAATGGGCATCCTGGGGGATTGTCACCTCCACGAAGCTTTCATTCAACGGACTTTTGACTGGCTGTGTTCACACCCCGGCTGCTGCCGAGCGTGAAGCTCTGGTGCAAGCCATGCTGGCTGCACATTCTGCAGCTGTGCCCGTGCGTTTGCTCATCGACAATGAGGCAATTGTCAAGCGCCTCCTCCGAGGATTGCGTTTTGGCAACTGGAACGGCGATGCTGCCGGTTTCTGGTCCTATATCGCCATGCTTGCCACTCATGGTGTGGAAGTGATGTGGGCACCTTCCCATGACAAAAAGCCCTTGTGGACACCTGTGCTTGACTGGAACCTTTCCGCTCAAGAGTGCAGAACGTTGAACGAGTTGGCTGACCTTGCGGCCGCTCAAATAACCGACGCCAAGCGAGATGATTTTGTTTTTTGCAAGAACATTCTCACTGATGCTCACCTGTGGGCTGCCTCTGTCTTTCTTAGACAGTGGAAGACTACTCGACCTTTTCATAATTCTGTCATTGCACTGCAGAAAGCGAAGCATCGATTTCCAGTGCCATCCTGAAGCTTGACTTCTGACTGCCTGAGCTTTTCGGCTCCCCTGTGTTTTCACTTATTTATTTGCTAGAGCCTCTGTGGCTCTCATGGCTACTTAACCACAGCTTCGGCTGGCAGGTTGTATGTCTCAATTCATTCATTCATTCATTCATTCATTCATTCATTCTGGATTTGTTTCGCCGTGCCTGGTGCGTGGCTGAGATTGCGGAAGCCAAACGTTTGCAGATGGACCAGTCATTGAAACTCTGGTCCAAAGCAACGCTGCAAGAACGTGCCCGGACATTGGAAAACCTGGATGTGCGGGACATGCGTGCCTCCTCGGACAAGGACAAGGAACTCATCCTTGGCAAGATTCAGGATGTAGATGATTTCAATGCCAAGCTTCAAGTGCTCATTTTTGATCCAAAATCAGGCCTTGTTGCCACATGGAATGCCATGGATAGCCTGCAGCAGATTGGTGAAGTGGGCCGGCTCATTCGATGGGGCCTGGCAGATGCAGGCAGTGGAAAAGTGTGGAAAGCATGGGACGGCCACAACTGAATCCATTTTTAAGCACAGCCCAGAAGAGGCACGTGCCAATCTCACTTTTGCAACCTGACACCCACAAGAGGCAGCAAATTCAGACTGGATAAAATAGATGCTGGACCAGCAAGAGTTTCATGATTTGGGTCAAGTGTTGCAGAAATTCGCAATCCAAACATATCCAAACAACCACTTGCAGCACTTGGTTGAACTGAAATCCAACCAAAATCCATTAGATTATCATCATTTTCCCTCTGAAAAATGGCTATAGTTGGGGTTATAGCCATCCAGACCGACCCATTTTTTGTGGTTTCAAACTTTCCAGGAGTACGTCTGGAGGGTCGAGGCAGGTGATGGCCTGGCGCTATCACGGAAACCAACATGTGCCATGTTTCATTCGCCATTTTTGGATTGGGTAAAGGGAACATATGAGAGAGACCAGGTTTTTTCCCGGTACAGAAAAAGTTTTCTGTGAATTTTCCCATGATTCAATTCTGGAACATTTGATCTTCCAATGTTTTTTTTTTTTACCTTTTGGCATTCAACATTGGTTTTCAATACATCTAGTGGCACTAGCGGCATGATCATCTCCCAAGTACCGAGGGGTTAGCAAGTGTGATGACTGTTTTTTTCCGGCCAACCTGGGGAGCAGGGCACCTTTTGTTAGCCTGGAACGAGTCGATACTTCACCCCCCGGCCCTGTGCTGGAAGGCGATGTTGACGATGAGGAAAGAAGCGCTCCAAGTCGGCAGCTTAAACTTCCAGTGCCAGTGACTAGTGTCGGGTGTGGTAGCCACTTTGCGGACACTACGGATTTACGATGTTCCATATTTATCAGCCTTCCAGGTTTGTTGTTCACAGCATGTTAGACCTCGTGTTGCTCGTTACTTATTTCACTTTATGTGGGTAAACTATGGTAAACCTCTTCTCTCCTGTTGTTGCACCTGACTGCAACTGTTGATCAACTTCCAGTGAGCACGAAAAACCTTACCCCAAAAAACTCGGTTTCACACAGCTGTTGATCACCCCAAGGGCTTCTAGGACTATCTTTCTGGTGACATTCAGATCCTGGCGACTTCCCAGACATGGCACTGAGGATGTTGGAGCAACCGGGAGGCGGAGGAGCCCATGCCCACGGCGTCAGTTGATCCCAGCCGTGATGTCAGTTGACTTTGCAGGGATGGGAAGATGCTAAGGTTGACATGACGGAGATATGTGACACTTTACATGAACTTCACATCGATGTTCCTGCAGCCATTTGGGCTGGTTTTCCTGTTGCACTTCCACGACATTCCATGACCATTTCGAGTTCAAGTTCTGAGGCGAGCTCCGAAACTTCGGAGACTGGACAGTCTTCAGGAGATCCATCGGTCCGAAAACCGTGGTGCCGATGGTTGCCCCGATCGTACCTGGTGGTCTTTGTCATCAATGCCACTGCGACCCTTCTGCTGTGGCCTGCTGATATTGAGTATCATCCTGATCCCCGGTACAATCATGTCTGTCCACTCAACATGCGACTCTTCTTCTTTGGGCTGATGCTGTCGAGTCTGGGAGCCGGCTGCGTGGCAGCCTTTCTGGTGAGAAGGGCTGAAGCTTCAGGTCATACAAAGTGGGCCTGTGGCTATGCCATCATCAACTGGATTCAAGCCATGTTGGGCTCACTGGGAATGAACAATGCAGGTTATGGGTTGTGCAGGTATGGAGTGATACCAAACCCAGCCTTCAATATTTGGTATTCTGCACTTGCATTCTGCCGATTGCTGCTGTATCTCGTTGCTTCCTTCTGGATGCAGACACTCATCGCTTCACGGCTGGATCTCTTGGAGCAATCTTCCAATCGGAGCTACCGCAGTGGCTGCTTTCGCAGACTGATGTGGGCCCAAGTCTTTGGGGCAGCAGGGGTTTTGCTTCCCATTGCGGGCGTGCTCTTTTATTCGGCCTACAACAATAGTAACAATGTTACAAGTATCATCATTTTCGCTACAAGTATGTGGAGCCTGATCGCAATAGGAGGCATCACATTGCTGTGCAATTGGGCAGCGAGCATCGTGGCCATTTGCTCTTTCCGAAAGTCTTATTCGGAGCTGCGGAGGATTTGTCGCCTGGCAGAAGCCAATGAGGCGCCTATCTCCGCAAGATCTTCCTTAAGACGAGCCCGAAGGTTTGCTGGCTTGCAAGGGTTGGGTGTATCATTTAGCCTCCTGTTCACGGTTCTGCTCGTTCCAGCACGTGTTTTTTCTGCTGTCTTGTATGGCTATGACTCTTTGAAGGTAGTCTTGTTTCTTATTCAAGCTTTTGATGCCCTGGGAAATGCTGTGGCCGTTCTCCTTCTGTCCGGCAGCCACAGGATGGCCAAAGTTGAAAGGAGTCAGGGGAGCCAATGTGGCTGCTGGAAAGTCGAAAAGGCCGAGCATAGCAGAAACCAACAGACTTCGCATGAAGATGTGAACTGGACTAGAAAGGTGGAAGAACTTTCAATGCGGGGGATGACTTTGCGTAGCCTCCTGCAGTTCTATCAAGAAAACCTACCTTCGATGCCGGATTGGAAATATGCGCCCAAGGAACACAAGACCAGAGATGTGGTCCGAAGAGCGATCATCCCATTGACTAGCAGAGAAGAATGCGCATTCTCAGTTTCAGCTTTCAACAAGGATGGTCCGAAACGGGCACAGGTCATGGTGACCCACAATTGGGGCAACTTGTTCAGCGACCTGCTGGCTGCAGTGCTGTCGGATGCCCTGCAGGAATGCAGTTTCAGCTTGCCAGCAGAACTTCTGCAGGAGGATTGCGCTTTCCTGCAGGACCTTCTGGCGAAAATGGGCCGGTTGGATGAGACATACTGGATATGTGCGTTTGCTGTGAACCAGCACATCAGCATCTGCCACAGCAACCCGTATGACCGGGATCCTTTCACAAATCAGCTGCACCCAGTGTGCCAGTGCAACAGCACAAACATAGTTGACCCGGATGGCCGAAGTGCCTCGTCAGAGATCAACAAGTTTGATGACATGCTGCGTCTTCTTGCCACGACTGGGGGATGCCGGCAGGTCATTGCAGTGGACAAATCCCTGGATTTGTTTCGCCGTGCCTGGTGCGTGGCTGAGATTGCGGAAGCCAAACGTTTGCAGATGGACCAGTCATTGAAACTCTGGTCCAAAGCAACGCTGCAGGGACGCGCCCGGACATTGGAAAACTTGGATGTGCGGGACATGCGTGCCTCCTCGGAAAAGGACAAGGAACTCATCCTTGGCAAGATTCAGGATGTAGATGATTTCAATGCCAAGCTTCAGGTGCTCATTTTTGATCCAAAATCAGGCCTTGTTGCCACATGGAATGCCATGGATAGCCTGCAGCAGATTGGTGAAGTGGGCCGGCTCATTCGATGGGGCCTGGCAGATGCAGGCAGTGGAAAAGTGTGGAAAGCATGGGAAAGCCACAACTGAATCCACTTTTTAAGCACAGCCCAGAAGAGGCATGTGCCAGTATCACTTTTGCAACCTGCCACCCGAAAGAGGCAGCAAATTCAGATTGGACCAGCAATAGTTTCGTGATTTTTGCAAAGTGTTGCAGAATCTGACAATCCAAACATATCCAAACAACCAATTGAAGCACGTGCTTGAACTGAAATCCAACCAGCATCCATTAGATTATTATCATTTTTCCTATGAAAGATGGCTATAGTTGGCTGAATCCACTAAGCACAGCCCATAAGAGGCATGTGCCAATCTCACTTTTGCAACCTGCCGCCCGAAGGGGCAGCAAAATTTACATTGGATAAAATAGATGCAGGACCAGCAAGAGTTTCTTGATTCACCGGCACAAAGTGTTTGCAGACATTCTTTATGCAAACAAACAATTGGAGCACTTGGTTGAAAAGGTTTGCGGGTTCAAACTTTCCAGGAGTCTCTGCGTTTGGTCGTTGAGCGGACGGAAGACATAGAACGCCTGCTCGGGCGGAAGGGTCGAGGTGGGGTGGCGGCCTTGTGATGTTCGCCTATTGATCTTCTTTTTTTTTGGTGGGATGGAGTTTCAGAGCTCTGAAAATAGACAATTTAAGATAATTTAAGTGGATAGGGCAAGTGTCCAATTTCAAACGAAGAATTCAAAGCCTGCAGCTTTGCAGGGAAAGAGTGAAGCACTTCCACTTCAGACCGATTTATGGAACTCTCAGGTTGAAGTTTTTTTTTCTCTGCCTGCCTTCAGACAGCGACAGATGGGCCCTGCAGCGCAGGAGCAGTCTCAACGACCAGCTCAGTTGCTGGCGCTGAAATATCCAGGATGGGTCCTTTTTTAAGGACCTGGATGGTTTAGTACGTGCCAACATTATCTTGGATAAGAGGCAATAAGAGGTCTCCAATTCTTGTGGCCTCACCAAAAATACAGATGATGGCCGTGTCACATGCTGAAGAGTCGAATGGATCCAGCCGCATGGGCCAAGGGATGATGTGATGCTCTTGGGATGTGGTGATTACTAGTGACTAGTGATTACCATGAACATTATGTGAATTACTATGGATTGGTACGTTGGGAGGTGGCGAACTAGCCGAAAGATCCTTAAAGTGTCTAGTGACTGAATAGGATGTGAATCAGGATGGCAGGATGGCGGTGAAGTCTTGTCAGTCACAGCGCGACAGTGGCCACTTTGTGGCCATCAGGATTTTGGAATCTGAAACATCAATGCTTGTCTGAAACATCACCTTGTATCGCCACGAATTTCGACATGCAGCTTTGGTCCCAACCGCCACTGGCAGGAGCTGGTAGAGATGGCCATTCAGAAGATGACTGCCTGGCAAAGTTACAGGTGCACCGGTTGAGCCCAGAGCCACGAACGCAACTGGTTGGTGAAATGTTGGTTATACCCTGAGTTTTTCAGGGATGAAATTTGACAAATGCTGAAATCATCGTGAAAGTGGAAAAAATGGATCCAATCTTTGAAGACGCTCTACACGGGGCCTGCAGACGGATTTTCTTATGGCCAATCGTTTGAACTGTGGGGAGACATGCTCCCAGATCATTGC